CTGGTCTCAGGGGGATTGATCATTTTGAAAATGGATCTTCAAGTTTGTTACAACCCCATTTGACCCTTTCTCAGAGCTTGACTTTGTTTAAACTCTTCAAATAAGAGATTATTCCTTGATCTGGCCCATATCCCATTATTAATGCAGTCAAAGTACAGTAGAACCAGTCTAATTCCATCACCACGGGGATCAGCAAAAGGTGTTCGGTTAAGCACGTGTTCACATTCAATGTTTCTTAATACTAGAATGTGAGTCAATTTTAGATAACAAAATTGAAACTGAGAAAAAGTGTTCATATTGAAAGGTGTTCAGATTGAAGAGGTGATTGGATATTCAGGTTTTACTGTATTATATATTTACTTATAAGCAGGTTCAATTTTACATTTGAATCCCATTACAGCTGACTAGGAGATTATCTTAATAGCATGAAAACTGTAAAATCATCTGCAATAATCAGAGGGTGGGGTAGCTAGCTGACAGGAATACAGGGTATCCTTATTATATAGAGGACCTAAATCAGTTAAATATTCATTTGATTTGACTTCAAAAAATGAATTCCCAAACAAACTCATAAAATATCTTCAAAAACAATTTCAGAGTAATGAGCCTAACTTTTTTTCAGCTCCAAAAGATAATTTCCAATAATTTATTACAATCATGCGCAAATCACTTTAGAAGATATTTGATGAGTATGTACCCCATAAACTATCCATAATTGTTGAAAAAGAGCTTTTAGATGAAAAACCAAGTAAAATCTGTCACTCTGCAAAGACACAAGGGCTATCAGCTGGTCTATATCCATAATGGAAGGTGATAAAGGACATTCAATGCTACCTTAACACTCACATTAGAAACAGGTGTTAGCTTTAGGTCTAAAACAAAAAGCTTTTTGAAGTAGTTTGTTGTACTAAAGTTTTGTTTATTATTCCACTGTTGACCTGTGTATAAGGTGGCCACTCAGAATTGTCAGTTACTATGATCTATCTTCACCATTCTCAAATAATCTCGATGACTATTGCTACTAGAGTTCATGTGCATGCTAAAATTGACTTTAGAGGCCATGGTCAATTTATTAGAATAAACGTTTGATGTTTTAAATTTTGGATTTCGGATTATGAATCTAAAATGTAAATATTGTGACAGCTTATTTTGTGCATGGTCATTTCTAAAATATTTTGAATCATATTTCTCATAAATTCTAATTGTCTAGTAAAGCAATTCATATGGCGTAATCATTTAAAAATCGGGCTCCATACATCATATTCCCAATGTTTTCCTGAAACAGGCTACAGTCCCATGTTTCCAACATAATCAAAGTCATTTTAAAGTATTTCATTTCATGGTTTGTTGATTCATTAATTAGCTAATTAAATTAAATCACAAATACAGTCCAAAATTTGAAGTCCAGCAAAGTATCTTTAGGGAATTTGATATTAAAATGGCTATCAATTACCTTGCCCCAAAAGCAGAGTTGGGAAAATCTAGTTTTCAAAATATTGCCATGGAGATTTGAGAAGGTAAACAACTTTGAAATTGTTAATTAAAAGGTCTAATCTATTAATTAAATTGTTTAATTAAGTCAAAGTGTCTACCAATCACCATCAATTATGCCTAATTAGGATTGACACACTGGCCTAAATGCAAAATGTCATATTATTTATCAAGAATGAACAACATTGGCAAAGTTGCAAAGTTGTTGAGTAAAGAATAAAGTACATGTACATGTATGACCATGCAGAAATTACCATATCGGCCATATTAGCCAACTTTCATCATGAAGGGCTTAAATTCTCATCGAAACTCAAAATTGGTCAACATTTTGCCTAAAAAAGGATTTTCATCAGAATTATGACAACTTAATCCCAATAATGTCAAAATTCTCTTTGGTCAAATTGGGGACTTCCATGATTCCCAGAGCCTCCCCTGGCCATTGTATGTAGATTGACAATTAATTAAATCAAGAGTATCTGAATCTCCATTTTTCTCTCCCATGGAAGTCCCAAATAAACTTTTCTAACCAACAATGTTTAAGAAATACAAGAAGTGTACACTTTTTGGTCAAACCCAGCTTCAAAAGTAAGAGTGGTAAGGCAACAACAGGAGCATAAGATATGGTGTCCAATAATCAACAGAAAATATTCCAGTAATCAGTAAAGCAGAATTTTGAAGTTTAATTATAGGGGAGGGGGTAATTAAACCAAATCAACTTTTTATTAACAGAAGAATATCCCAAGTTCGTGATTTAACAAACGCATACTGTATACTCTAAATCACCGAATCACTGAGCATTCATAAACACTTTTGCAGAGTGTTTACATCTGTATCATTTTTGACACAATTATTCAAACATAGACTGGTAGGTCCATGCAGCATCGCAACAGTATGATGACAGAGGAGTATAAACAGGTCAAAGAACCAAAGACAAATGGCCATAATGGTCATGTCTTAAAATGCAAAATAGAGAGGAAAAGAGTGGAGTCAGTGAGATAAAAAGTAGCCTGGCATGTAGACAAAACTCTAAATTGTATGGAAATGCAAGAAATGCATAGTGTTCATTCAAATTTTAGAGAGAAAGGGTGTGAAATTGGCATGACAAAAGAGTTTATTTAAGCAAGGGTGGCCACTTGGTATGATCATTTCAACAGCCTTTCTTATGAAAACAAGGAAATGCTTTTACTCTGATATTTTTAAAAATACTTAAGGTGAAATTGATATATTTATAGCCAGGTTAAAAATTAGTGTAAATTCTGATGTTTTTTTGCCTCAATAAATCTTAACTTTTGATATTGAAGTATATGAGCAATTGTATACTGCAGTTTAAAGTTGAGATAAATGAATTTATGAAATAACGGTGTATATGTATTTATATTTTTCTGAAAAAGTTCAGCATTAAGTCCCTGCATACCCCTCTCATCTACTTCCCCTTCTTATATAGGTTAGGTTTGTAGAGGGATGAGACACAATGGCTTGAATTAAAGACCAGTTAGGTTCCCTCAATGGATCGCCCCTAACCTGACAGAGTAATGCCAACTAATTTAGTTATGTCATAACAACATTTACTCTACCTACGAGTTTTATTTATATAATGTAATTAATTATATAAAACAGGTGCATTTCAGTTTTGTTCATAGTTATCCCCTTTACAATTTATATTTTTATCGAAAATACTGACAGAAAAGGATAATATAGAAACAACCAGGTTTTATTCTTTATCTCACTAACACTGACAAACTTATCAATAAGAGATGCAGTTATGTAACATAATCAACACAATCTGAGAAGTAACTTTTCCAAAAAATTTCTAATCAATTTTAGAAGCTTTTAGGCTAATATCATACTTGTGTTGCCCATTTTCAAGAAATTCAAAAGGTTATATTTTGTTTTATTGGAATCATTTATTTTATATATATGCTTAATCTAGACATGATCTAGATAAACTTCTGAATCAAAATAAGTTGATCATTTGACAAAACACCAGAATGAATCTATTTTTGAGATGAAAAATATGGAATGGTAAAAAATTGTTTCTCATTCTGGGTGCCTCTCCTGTTTCTCACGAGTCATAAAGATGAACTTGAGCTTTCCAACATGTAAAATGTTATATCCATAATTTTGAACTTGTAACAGAGGTCGTGATTGATTGATAGGCTCGTGTGGGGTCAGAAATCACTTAAATATGGATGTTAACATAAAAAATAGGTCTTGCTTTACAGGTTCCCCTTACAAACATGTATAATGTCAGGTTGAGTGATGACATTTACAGGTGGGGGTTTACAGATACATGCTAGAAAATCCATAAAGTATGCAAGCCAGCATGTCCTGCTATAAAGAAACACCAATTAGAGGTTCTCATGAAGATTTTTGCAAAATGACAGGTCCCCTACAAGGGATCATCTCAAAAGTGATTAAACCATCTATAAACTTACAACCTCAGGGGTGTAGGTATTTTTTAATTTCCAATTATGTTGATTATATCCTTAGAAGGGGTCTTCCATTCCTTGTATTGTATTATGTGAACTGATGGATTAACATGCCTTTGGACATAATGAGTGTGATTACAGGGGGGGGGGCAGGTGATACTGAACCAAACCCTGGAATGATTATACTCAAGGAATAATCCTATTTTAATGCAAATTGTTTAATTAAATCACATTTTCCTTAAGTAATTCAGAGTTGATTATTCTCTTAATTTCCTTGGTAACAGCAATAGCTATTCCTATCAAAGTGTCTCAAGAAATACTCCCTAGTGACAAATGATGTCGATTCAATTGTAAACAAACATTTGACACAACCCCTTAATAAACCATGAGTAGCCACCAATCAGTAATGAACATAGAACTCTGAACAACATACAGTGACAGGCGGCCTGCCAACCAAGCAGCACATAATAACAAGTGGAATATTAACCTTAGAGTATCACCTTCAATACATTCTATGCATTGTTAGATGTCAAAACAACAAGAGGCTAATAATACATCATATTTAGTAAGAATATACACCGCAACATAATGGAAGCTGTCAGAATCGTTATCGTCTTGGCAATTCTATGTGTGATCTCATCAGATGCTAGCTACATCAAAACGGATGACACAAGTGTAGCTCACAGTGATAACATCGATGGAGATCATAATGACAAAACAAAAGATGAGTTGCCATGGCAATCAGAGAGTGGAGATGCTCCTGATGGAGACAGAGCGGAATTTGATGACAACACGGGAGAAAACAATGACGATGAAAATGATGACAATAACAATGATTACTATAACAATGGTGATCATAATGATGAAAATTACAATAATGATGAACTCAATGATGACAACTATAATGATGATATTTATAACAAGGATGAATACAAAAATGATAACCAATTTGATACATCTACCTCAAACAATGATGAACAAGATGATCAAACAACACATAACAAAGAAAAACCAGAACATGACAATACGCATACTGCTTCAGTCAATCAAAATGTTGAAGGTCATGTCGAACATGGAGCAATTCAACAACGTGATGAACCCAGAGATGATCATAGACTAAAAGATACATTTATCAAATATCACATTGATAATGAGAATCAAGGCTATGAAATACAAGATGATAACCTCAATGATGAAAATCTGAACAATGATGAACAAAATGATGAAAGATATGACTTTAACAGCCATTACCCAGGAGATAATCATAATGATTATAAACATGAGGATTATACAAAACAAGAGGATTACAAACAACATGAGGATTACATTCTGTTTGATGACCATGAACCAAGCCCAATAGATAACCAAAATGAACCATTCTTTGATGAAACCCCAAGACAAAAGGAAACAGTTGCTCCTGCTGTGAAAGGTAAAAAATCTGGTGGTAGAAGACACAATTCCCACAGGAATACTGAATTATTGAATGAGATGTTTGAACAGATGAACACAGTCCAGGCGAACATGTTACACCAGGTGGCCGCCATTGAGAGATTAACAGAGAGAGTCACCACACTACAGGCATCTCTCACTCAACAGTTCCAGCAAAATATAAAGCTCCAAACCTCCAATGAGAACCTCCAGCAGACTGTTGAAGACCTTAAAGATGAACTGTCCGTTAACCTGAAAGATTATATAACAATGAATCTTCATACAGAATTTGAAAGATTAAAGCTTGATTTGAAAAATGATTTAAATGATAAAGATGTCACACAAACTACAACAGAACCTCCAGATGAAGACAATCAACGTGAGAATGCAACAAAAGACTGTAACACAACAGCAATTCAGCTGATATATACAAAGGACATTGAACATATCCAAACAAAAGCCTCTGCCATGTTTGACCTCCTCAATGCCACACAGAGAGACCAGCAGCTGATGTTTCTGGAGCAAACACGCATCAAAAAACACAGCAAAAAGCGGATGAAAGAAAACATCAAAATTCGGGAAATCCTCGATAAGGTGATGATAACACAGGAAAACATTGCAGAACAGGTTAAAGAACTTCAGAAGTCTAAAGCTGAATCTACTGAAACATTACTATACAGGGATGAACCAAGAGCAGACTTTCCAATGAGATTAACGAAAAAATGGCCCATGAGTGAAGTTAAGTCTCGGAAACGTAAAACGACACGTCGCAATGTTGAATGCCCTCGTAAAGCAGAAGCTATGGGGGACATCATGTCTAGTGTATCAAGTCTACAAAACAGTTTGGACCATCTGGCGAAGAAGTTTGACAACAGAATGCCAACTGGTGAGTACTACAGAGACATCTTTATTAAAATAATTTTATCTACAGTACTAGAAATATCATTGGAAAGGAATATTCTTAATCAAAGAATGGTTTATTAAGCCTAAAAAGTTGTTTATTTCAATTTAAAATGACAAGAATTATAAAGGTGAAATATAAATGTACTCTATTTTATATTGATTTCATTCATTTTTAAACTATATTAATGCTGTAAATGGGCTAATTAGCTTCTTGCAAATTATTAATGTAGAGGTTAAGGCAAAATGGGAGTTTGAAAAGGGTTAAAACTTGCTAGGAGTTTACAGTTGGCATGTTTACAAAGTGGTTGTGTAATCAGTGGTAATACATTCAATAAAGTGTGGAACTGATTCAATTATGACTATCACAATTTTTTTATTTGTGAGAAAATCTCAATAAAGTGACTGAACCCTTTGGCACATTTTACTTCATTCTACATCATTTCTTTTCTTTTGGTGATTTTTATATCCAGTAAAACCTATCTGAGGAAATGCTTTTCTAAAAAACAACTCTTTAAAATTAACAGTTTTCCAAAGAACTAGATATTTTTCCTTTGACTAACATGTAAATTACATGTTAATGGACCCTCTCTTTAAAGAACACCTGTCAACTGGGAACACGGAACAGTGTTTTATGGCAAAGGACGATTCTCGGTTTGGAGAACGAAGTTCATCAATCTAAATGAGCATTATCCCTGCTTCAGACAAGTTTGATTTTTTTTACATAATATAGATTTGAATAGTCATACTTTAATTTGGGTAATATTTCTAGATTTTTCGCAAAAAAATATTAGCGCAGTACACTGATGAACTTCTTTCCCCAAATCGAGACTTGTATTTTATTGAATCAGTCTTATTGAGCGTTATCCCTGCTTCAGACCAATTTGTTATTTTTACATCTTGTAGATTTAAATGTCCTCTTTTGAATATTCCTAGTTTAATTTGGGTAATATTTCTATATTTTTCATGAAAAAATTATTAGCTCAGGAGACTGCTCTCCAAACCGAGAATCGTCCTTTTGAAAATTCACTTGTTGACAAGGAACATGGAAAAATGGTTACACTCTACATCCTATTGTTTTATTGGAAGTGTGAATGACTTAACCAATATTTGATTACAAAGGATTAATATAAATGAGATTGAGGTAAGCCAGTTATGATATCCCACCTATCATTAATTAGGCCAATTAGCCCAATTATTTTTGAAATCATGATAAGTGATTAAGTAAGATGACACTTATGATTTCTTTAAACAAAGCTTATCAGCTGGTCTTATCTAGAAATGCATATGTGTGATGTTAAATTAAGGCTATTTGATATTTTAATTATTCAAAGTAAATGTTACTAATGCTAGAAAGTATTATTGAAGAAACCTATATATCAGCATCATGATAAACCATGACATCTCATTTCTTCTCAGCCCTCAGGTGAAACAGAAAGATGCTATGAGTATAAGAATGGTATGAGATGTCAAATATGAAGAGTTTGTTCAGGACCATTCAGAAGTTAAATTTTCACTTCATTCTGATAGTTTTGTGTTTCATTTCAATTTCAGGGTCATGTTTATCATTTCAAAAACATGTCTCTCAACTCATTGTAAAGCATTCAATGCATTCTTCAGTTCTTTCTTTAGTTTTTACTAATCACAGAACTAATAAAAAATACATCAAAACAATAAAGATTAAATGTTACCCAACAATATATTGTTTTTTTGCCGGCTGAAAGGAACAACTGTCAGTACAGTTTCAGCCAGTACTAACCTTGTATTCGCAAATGCAAGTAACGCCTGTCGGGTACTGGATTAACCATGACCAACTCATTTAGATATGAATTGAAAAGTAGCAGGTACTATTCATATTTAAATGAGTTACCCATAAAATAGTAAGTTAATCCAGTAGCCAACAGGTATAAGTTGCATTCGCGAATACAAGGAAAGGGTGTTCCCCATTGTGGGATCCACAGCCTTTACTATCCTTTTGGAGCGTTAGGTAAAGAGGGGCTCTGATAAATCAGAATGGGTGTTCCCTGACCACAGGTTTTACTGTATAATGAATTATTTCATCACTTCATTTGTGTACAAGAGAGCTTGCCAATCACATTGTTTTACTGTATAATGAATTATTTCATCACTTCATTTGTGTACAAGCGGGCTTGCCAATCACATTGTTTACGATTCTGCTTCCTTCATTTGTTTAGTTGACCTCATTCCAGTAGATATGCCTTGCCTCCATTCACAAATAAACTAATTTTTATCTCTTCCTAATGAACAAAGAACTAGGAAGTTGTAAAGTATTGTTACTTATACTGTACAATAATACTATTTACTCCACCTGTCACTGATTTATAAACACATCAAGTTTCAGCATAAACAAAGCAGAATCATGACTAATTGACGAACTGATACTTCAAAATCATGAGGAAAACGGAACAAAAGTCAACCTTACCAAAACATAAGAGTTATATTTAGTAACATTACTTCATGCACATGTAGTTGATTTCTTATTGATGTTTATATAACAGAGGTGAATTTGACCTGATCAACTGCCTTATATTGCATTATTTTAGCTATTCAACAGCTGAATTTTTTTTCGATTTGGCAGTGACATTTAATAAATGATCCAAACCAGATAGACCCAAAGTAGGCATCAACTCAAACTTTATACATAATCATACAACAATGTATTTATTAGAGCCATGAGCAAAAGATAGGACAGGCAAATTTAAATAGGTGTGGCAACATTTTTCAGCTCCCAAAAATGACAGATTTTTTGTCACAATTCAAATTCCCCGAAGACTAACAGATATATCTGTTACAGAATTTTTTTCTTTCTCTTAACTTTTTTTGCACTTAACTTTATAATTTACACTTTCAATTTTTTTAAATGATTCTACAATAATAAGTCATTACTTACTAATTTTATAATATCAAATATTGATTATGATAATTCTAGACTCAAAGACTGGAAAATACTCATGCTTCAAACCCATTAGAGCCTGGCACTCAAGAGGTTATTCTATTGTTAACATGTGATAAAAATCTGCTCTATGAACAAAAGAACCTGTAAAGTGGAACAACTTTATAAATGGAGCATTTCCAGGTCCTTTTGCATATTTCCTTTACGTAAAATTGATCTCCGTTATAGAATACCTCAATGAAACACTATTTGAAGGTGCCTTAAACTTAAAACCTTTATTGTACTGTGTTATTGTAAACTGTGTGTTATTGTAGACTGCCAGGATGTGATGAACTTTGCCTACTACCAGGGTAGTGCAGTATATACAATCAAACCAGACAAAGTGGACAAGGCATTCCAGGTATACCAGTATGGACTTTTGAATATAACTAAAATTGACAACTTTTATGGGTTTCAACATTCATAGCAAGAAATGGTTGATTTTCTCTACTTGTTTTTACCAAAATTGAAGAATTTTGCAGTTATGTTTCTATATTATTAGGACAATAGATTTCTAGTTATTTTCCCAGATGTTGATTTCATTTGTTTTTTTTCTGTTAATAGAAATGTTGATCCCTGATTTATTGTCAGCGGGATTTTTCTCAACAGATTAAAAAATAAAATTTTACTCCTACAAATGGCGGAAACTTGTGTCATCAAGTTAACCCAATTTTTATGGTTGTTCAAAATTGTTTTTGCTCTTTTTGAGTATACATGCCATTGTTTATCTTTGTGTATGTCTCTGATGATATGGACCTCCCAATGTTAGTTCATATAGGTTGATAACCTCAGCCAATATATCCAAGAACACTGACATGCAACCAAATAAAGTCACGTGAATTAAACCTTAAGCTCGGTGTTGTTTTATAATAGAGAAATTCTTCCTCAAAATGTGAATACCAATCTTAACACTTATGGTCCCAATGGTGTTTGGATTATACAGGTTTCAATGTATTAATTACTTTATGGGTGTCATTGATATGGAAAAAATAAAACAAAAATACTCCTTATCCCACAACATGATTTGAACAGTTCAAAATTTAAACTGATTCCCAATTTTCATTGCAGGTTTTCTGTAAGATGGACTCAAAGGAAGGATGGACCATAATTCAACGCAGGATGGACCATAAATTGTCATTTGACAAGAAGTGGATGGAGTATAAAAATGGGTTCGGGGACATCAATGCCAACTACTGGCTGGGAAATGATAAGATATACTACCTCACAAACCAGGCAAACTACAGGTAGGGACAATAAATGAAACAGTATATATCCTCATTGACTAAAAATCATGGTGAAACTGTCATATGTTGACTATATAAGGTGACTCATATCTCTGGATTATGAATGAATACAGACTGGTTTAGAGATGTATAATACAATGACAACCAACCAAGACATGGAATCAACAAGACACACAGTGATAAATATCGCACTTTGAAGAGCAAACTGGCCACCATGCAATTTACCCAGCATGGCAAAAACCTAATCAGACCTTGGCACTAGTCTGCTCTTGCATCTGTAAATATTTCAAGTTGACAAGGTTAGCGGTTTTCCTGCAATTTTGATGACAAGAATTTATTTGTAGTCTTGAACTTTGGGAAAATTTAGATAACATTGTTTGTGACCTTATTTGATGACCTTCGACCTTGAAAATTTCACTTTTTCAGACCTCAGTGGGTGTTTTGTAATTAAGCTGACCTAAATTTAAATCCAAAATATCAATTTAGAAAATCAAATTTTTGACCTTTTAAAGGTCACTGAAGGTGAACGAAAGGTCCAATCTGAAATCTAAGGTCAGATTTGAACTTCTGAGAACTTGTAGATGTTTTTAAAAAAAAAATTTGGTCAACTTGGAGCAAGTTGAAAAATTCAAAATGGCCGCCAAATTGAAAAATTCAAAATGGCCACCATGTTATTCAGCCAGCATACCCAAAACCTGATCAGATCTTGGCAATAGTCTGCTCTTGCATCTGTAAAAATTTCAAGTTGAACGGATAAGTGGTTTTCCTGGAATTTTGATGACAAGATTTGTTGAAAAATTCAAAATGGCCACCACGTAGTTTACCCAGCATGCCCTAAACCTAATCAGATCTTGGCACTAGTCTGCTATTGCATGTGTAAAAATTTCAAGTTGAACAGGTTAGCGGTTTTCTTGGAATTTTGATGACAAGAATTGATTTGTAGTCTCAAACTTTGAGAAACTTGGATAACATCATTTGTGACCTAGTTTAATGACCTTGACCTTCGACCTTGAAAATTTCACTTTTTCAGACCTCAGTAGGTGTTTTGTAATTAAGCTGACCTAAATTTAAATCCAAAATATCAATTTAGAAAATCAACTTTTTTGACCTTTTCAAGGTCACTGAAGGTGGATGAAAGGTCAAATCTGAAATCTAAGGTCAGATTTGAACTTCTGAGAACTTGTAGATGTTTTTAAAAAAAAAATTTGGTCAATTTGGAGCAAGTTGAAAAATTCAAAATGGCCGCCAAATTGAAAAATTCAAAATGGCCACCATGTAATTCAGCCAGCATACCCAAAACCTAATCAGATCTTGACAATAGTCTGCTCTTGCATCTGTAAAAATTTCAAGTTGAACGGATAAGTGGTTTTCCTGGAATTTTGATGACAAGATTTGTTGAAAAATTCAAAATGGCCGCCACGTAGTTTACCCAGCATGCCCTTAACCTAATCAGATCTTGGTACTAGTCTGCTCTTGCATCTGTAAAAATTTCAAGTTGAACAGGTAAGCAGTTATCCTGGAAATTTGATGACAAGATTTGGTTTATGTGCCGCCCGCACACCCGCACGCCCGCACAACCGCACGCCCGCCCAACAGCACAAGACGACGACAATATAGCACTTTTTCAAAGTGCGATAAAAAGTTCAGAACAAACATTTTACAAATTGGAACCCTAAATAGATGTCACTAGTGTAATTGTATTAGATTTATGAGTTTTTCTTTAAAATTTGTGTTATTAAACATTTTGTTCAATGCACTGAACAGAATGGATCTATAAACTACAAAGTGACATCTTAGGCCAATGTGTGTTAACTGGTAAAGTACAAATGATGGCAATGATATAAACAATAGAACAACTTCAATATCTTACTGTTTTTGCTAACAGTACACATGTGCTTAAAGCCTTAAACATGTATATACTATTAGTTAGTGAGGTAGCACCGAAAAATGTACCCGCTTCTGAACAAATTGAAATTACTTGTTTCTTATGTATTTTTATGTGATTCTTCAGAAAATTTTAGTCTGACGCGCCGTATCCGGGGCGAAAGTTGTCAAAATTGGGTTTTTGACCCTAAAAAGGAAAATTACAGGGGGTACATTATCATCATTGAATAATTCATTCAGTTGGTCTTCAATCATCATAATAATTTTATTGAGAGTTGATGAGATCATTTTAAGGTAGTATGCAAAGTTTCAATGGTCTGCCACTTGTGGTTGCCATGGAAACCACAATTTTTGCTGAGAAAATCCTTAATTTTGGTAAAACCTGTACCTGTACATAATATAGAATGTGGATTATTTTTCAAATCAACAGGTATCAGAACATTTTAGCATTCTCAAAATTACCAGGGCAGTTCAAACATTTATTTAAATATAAAGGATATTGCAATTAACATAACTGGGGAGTGTCAAAGACCATACAATTATATAAGTGATCAAAAGTGGGCGTCACCCTCATCATAGTAGATGATTGCCATTCTCTAAAAATACAGAGTTTTACTTGACTTTTGAGATACATTTATAATGATGTTCTTTGGTTATACTAAATATGAAGCATTTTTGGTAAATAATGTACATGTAAGTGTTATACTTATTGCATGGGGGAGGGGGTAGATGGGGGGGGGTAACAGAATTGGAAGAGGGCAAAGCTAATCACCCTTAAGTATAAATCTCATCTACATAGTTCTGGATTCCATGGGGTACATCTTCTGGGTCTTCTTCACATTCATCTGAATATATCGGATATTATAATTCTGCATGATTGGTAAGTATAAAGACCATAGAATTACGCAAGTGATCAAAATTGGGCGTCGCCCTTATCATAGATTCATTCTCTATAAATACAGAGTCTAACTTGACTTTTGAGATACATTTACATTACAACTTCTTTATTATACTTAATATCAAGCATTTCTGGTAAGTAATGCACATCGAATTGTAATAGTTCTTGCCTGGGGGAGGATGGGGGAGAGTAGTAACAGAATAAGGAGGGCGCAGAGGAAATCGGCCTTAAGTATAAATCTCATCTGCATAGTTCTGGATTTCATGGGGTACATCGTCTGGGTCCTCTTCATATTCATCTCAATATATGGGATATTACAATTTACAGGATTTGTCAAACACCATACAATTACATATTAATAAATGATCAAAAGGAGTGTCGCCCTAACAATAATAGATGATTGGTTCTTTGTATAAATACAAAATTGAACTTGACTTTTGAGATACATTCATAGTTATACTGAACTGCTGTTATTATAATTTATGTCAAGCATTTCTGGTAAATACATCTGTGTAAGTTTTATAGTTTTTACATTGGGGCAGGGGTGAATAGTAACAGAATTAGAATGTGTAGATCTCATCTGCCTTAAGTATCAATCTCATCTTTTTAATTCTGGATTTCATAGGGTACATCTTCTGGAGTTTTCTGATTCATATCCTGGTGTTGCTATATCACCAATCTCTTGTATGAGAATATCAGTCAATACCCACTGGAAAGATATGGAGTCATTTAGTTTCCATTCAAGTCCATCTGGTGGTTCACTACGAGGATTTGCAATATGGGCCATACAGACAATAAGTGCTTTATATGGATGAGTTGGTTGCAACAATCAGACAGTCCTTCATAAGACCAACTTAGGAAAATTATCTAGAGATGAGATGAGTGTGACACCCATAATGACCTTGGAAAGGCACAAATAGCAAGTACAGAAAAAGACATAAAGATGACAAAAACCGCAATCAAAGACTTTCTTGATCCATTTACCATTGAGGATGAAGGTCATCTCTACGGTGTATCATAAGGAAAATCTGTGCCAAATGATGCCGCTGCAGATCTCATCTAATTTTAGTCAAAAGGGGAAATTGCATGAAGAGATACCATCTGAGATGAGTTGAAAAAAAGATTTCATGATCTAATAAAACATATGAAATTGAAAACTATAGCCTAGAATGTCTCCTGCAGTTCTTATTGAGCCCTGTGCCTTGGGCTCTAGGAACACTGACTGGACTTCTTGCAAGAACAGAGAAACCCATCCCTATGCATGAACATGTACCCACAAGTGCCAAAGGGAAAGGACCAAAATTTGTAATAGAACCCAGCAAGAAAAAGAAAACTTCTAAATGTATACAAATCATAAGGAAAACAAACCCCAACTATCCCAAATCATAATTCAACATGAAAGGTAGTTTTGTTTCTGGATCTGGCGGAGACTTTTTTCAAGATTCTACAATTGCAGATTGATTAGTTTTTGTATGTGATAATTACATCAAAAATTCTATAAAGGAACCTGAAAGAGAGGAGGGACACCTTGCCCTATTTAAGGTAGAAAAACAAGAGTCCCTAAAGATTTGATTTAGTTCTTGTATGATGATGAAAACAAAAAGCAAATACAGGAAAGTGTGCTGCTGGATACTTGAGTTGGAAACAAATGAAGACTGATGTCAGTGGTATTTCCTCCAATATAGACCCTGACATATATGCAGCCTTCCTAGCACTTCACACATTCACAGATGAAGTGTCATGCAGAAGGGGCAATAGCAATAGCACCTTTTTAAAAGGCAAAGGTGGAGCGCCATATACAGATGCACTCAACTGAATGACTCTCAAATCTGCTAGTGTAGTGGTATACTAGTATTCTCCCACATGATATTGTTAATATATTAACATCGGGAGGTGAATGAAAATGATCAGACTATGATATTAATACTTAAAACTGACTGGCCATTGGCTCTGCCCCCTCCCATTTCTGCTACTACCCCCTTGCCCCCCCCACAGGGAATAACTATTACAATACTAAATGTAATCAAAGAAGTTTTAATTTAAAAAATGAATCTTATAGTCAAGTTAAACTCCATATTAATAGAGAATGAATTATCTACTATTGTTAGAGCAACACCCACTTTTGATCACTTATGTAATTGTATGGTCTTTGACACTTACCAATCATGTAAATTGGAATATCCCATATATTGAGATGAATGTGAAGAAGACCCAGAAGATGCACCCCTTGAAATCCAGAACTAAGTAAATGAGATTTACATTTAAGGCTTATTAGCTCTGCCCATTTCCAATTCTGTAACTCTCCCCCCCCCATCCTCCATCCCCAGACAATAAATATTACAATTAGATGTACATATATAACTTACCAGAAATGCTTGACATTAACTATAAATCAAAGATGTTTTTAAGTAAATGTACTTCAAAAGTCAAGTTAAACTCTGTATTTATAGAGAATGAACCATATACAATGATTAGGGCGACGCCCACTTTTGATCACATGTGTAATTCTATGGTCTTTGACACTTACCAACCATGTAAATTCTAATATCTTATATATTGAGATGAATATAATACGACCCAGAAGCTGTACCCTATGAAATCTAGAACCATGTAGATGAGATTTACACTTAAGGCTGATAAGCTCTGCCCCCTCCCAATTCTGTTACTACCCCCCTCCCCCCTGTATCCCCATGCAATAACTATAACACTTAGATGTAAAAATGCTTGATATTAAGTATAACCAAATAAATTCAATATAAATGTATCTCAAAAGTCAAGTAAAACTCTGTATTTATAGAGAATGGCAATCAACTACTATTATGAGGGCGACGCCCACTTTTGACCACTTATGTAATTGTATGGTCTTTGACACTTACCAGTCATATAAATTGCAATATTCTTTCTCTTTAAACAAATGTTTGGCGGCCCTGGTGATTTTTAGAGTGCTAAAATGTTCTGATATCTGTTGATTTGAAAAATAATCCACATTCTATATTATGTACAGGTACAGGCTTTACCAAAATTAAGGATTTTCTCAGCAAAAATTGTGGTTTCCATGGCAACCACGAGTGACAGACCATTGAAACTTTGCATACTACCTTAAAATGATCTCATCAACTCTCAATAAAATCAATATGATGATTGAAGACTAACTGAATGAATTATTCAATGATGATAATGTACCCCCTGTAATTTTCCTTTTGAGGGTCAAAAACCCAATTTTGACAACTTTCGCCCCGGATACGGCGCGTCAGACTAAAATTTTCTGAAGTATCACATAAAAATACATAAGAAACAAGTAATTTCAATTTGTTCAGAAGCGGGTACATTTTTCGGTGCTACCTCACTACCTATATGAAATGTGTTACAACTGTTAACATTCCTTCATCCATTTCAATTGATTCATTTCTTTCAATGCTTGGTTGTACCATTTCATTGCCTTCGAGACACTCTGATGTGGTCAGCTGGTCTGAACAGTGGAAAAGTTCAAGAAAAAATGTGCATGAACAATTCTTTTTTGAGCATGGTAATGTCAACAGTTTCACCTACAAGCAGTAAATCACATCTAGATGTGCCTGGTTGTTTCTGGTTGTGCCTGTCTCTTCATTTAAAGCATTCTAATCGATTCAACTAAAATTATTTTGTTTCATTTTTATGTCAAGACAAGACAAGTCCATCATATTTCACTCACTTTACAATTCCACTGATATGAAGGATAAAAACCATATTATTTGAAATAACAAACATCCACAAAAATATGCTCAAATTGCAGGTTACGCATTGAGATGGAAGACTGGTCTGGTGTAAAATACACAGCTGAGTATGAACAATTCCTCATAGACAGTAGTTACAACGGATACCGTCTCCATGTCAGCGGTTACTTTGGCAACGCAGGTGACTCATTCAGTTACCATAGCAACAGTGCATTCACAACAAAGGACAATGATAATGATATAGACAGGAGGGCTAACTGTGCACAGAGATATAGAGGGGGCTGGTGGTTCAGGGACTGCATGAAGTCAAATCTGAATGGGCTTTACTACAATAAACAAGGGGGCAAGTCAAAGATGTACAATGGAGTTGTCTGGTCAACACTAAGGGGAGATCAATATTCACTAAAATCTGTACAAATGATGATACGACCCCATGATGAATTTGACCAATAGTTGAATCCTTGAACTTGGAACTTCAAAAAGATGCAATTCCTATTTTTTATAATTGATACCCATTTCATGAGTAAATCAGAGTGTTTTTATTAGATTCCTATTTCGAGTCAAGTAAAAAATCTATAAACTATTAGTTTTCATTTTAGGGAAAAATCACCAAAAAGTCAAAGCTTTCCACAGGTTAGAAAACTGAGACTATTTTAACATAAGATCCTATGATTATTAGAGTAACTACAGGTATATGCTGTACCTCAAGACAGAAATGTACCTCAAACTATAAGATCATTTTATTCATTTTCAGTTAATACACTGTAACTGTATTTGTGTAAATAATTGTAAATATGTTGTAAATAGCATGGCAATATATCCTAGCATATTATATATTATTCCATAGTTAGCATGATATTCATAGGATAACATGTGAAAATAAAAACGGTATTTTTGTAATCAGTGGTAAAATATGATATTTTTGACAAATTTTCACTTAACCATAACATACGGTTTTTTAGCCATGACATACGACGTCGTATGCGATGGTTTATGGATTTTTGCTACTTCAGACTCAAAACGAGGCTAAGTTTCAACATCGCCGGATCGTTTGGAAATTCGAATTAAATAACTAATTTCCGACGATTCTGATGATGACTTAAACTATGGAATAAAAAGAACATCCTATGATTTACTCGTGATAGGATTTTAATCCACTCATGGATATTGATATCTGCACTCTCTCGCTACGCTCGCTCGTGCAGATATCATATCCATTCGTGGATAAAAATCATATCACTCATAAATCATAGGATATCCTCTATATATTATATGATTCTGTTATGTAATTGTGAGTACTGAAATATAATGACGAGATTACATGCAGTTTTATTTCTAAAATTATTTGTTGGTGACAGGTGTTACTTTATAAATCTAACTTTATCCCTTTAATTTCATTTATTAACATGGGTTTTTAAATGTGAACAATATCCAATATGATCACTAATATGCGAACACTAAGAAATATGGTCATTCTAAATGTGAAAACTGAAATGAGAAAACAGCTGAGAGTTGGCCGAAAATATGAGACCAGACCAACTTTACAGGTATGCCCTCTATTTGTCAAATGGAGCAATATTTTATCAATAGATTTAAAATTAAATCCAAGAAACAAATGTGAACCAACAAACAAACCCCCTAAAATGAAAAAATAGTGACATAAATCAACCTGACTTATATACAAACAAGGCAATAACATGCAAAATGTCACCACCTGCCATTTGTTACAGACCTAAACGCTGAATGCCAGACACCAACTGCCGAATACCATAGCAAAAAAAGTCGGATACCATAACAATATGTCACCAATTTTGGAGGTGACATAATAAGGCCAGGCCAAATAAAGTTTTAATACAGTGCTGATACAAATTAATTGATAAGTCATATAGTTGGCATATTTTCTTGAATTCTAACATTAAATGTCCCAGACTCCCCAAAACTGCAGAAAAGTATACACCGTTAGTCATATTTACCAAAATGAGTGTCTCCAAGGCTTCATACCAGCGTATGCATAATGCATTTCTTATGAGTTTGAGCAAAAAATTTTGCTAAAATGCCAGGTTTGTTTATTGTGGTTAGCTTCTCATGGTAAGTGCTCAGAAGCAAATAATTCATGTGCGCAATATAATCAAATAATCTGATTGGTTTTAACTTAAGTGTGCATGCTCACGGTGTGTGCCATGTTTTTCTAGTGATTTCGTTTCGTTCCATGGAGTTTGTGTTTCAGTGTAACTTCCACAAATGACCAATAAAGTCACTTCGAAATTTAGAGAACTTTTTTACCTATAATAGCAAAACTTTTGTTTTATTTGATCATTCTATCAATCTGAGATAAGAATCTCAAGGGTATATAGGCAAATCTATTTTGGTAGGAGCACTCTATTTAGTTTGAAAACTCACCCTCTATTATTTTGTATCAGCACTATAGGTATATTTCTGGCTGACAAATGCTGAAATCCAACCAATTTTTGTCTCACTTGCATAAAATGACCCGTTTACTTACCGCATAGAATTTCCAGTCTTTCTCTTGCCTCATAGGAGATGGCTTGGCAATCCCTTCGCTCTCATCCACTATGTAATTTCCCAGCATCAGGTCAATAGCATCCTGGAAAACAACAACAAATATGATAATGATTAGAGTTACTCAGCAGGTTTAATTTTGAAGCATTCTGACAAAATAATAATAAAACTTGGTAACAAAGAATTTTTGAGGTGTCATACAGGCAAAAAATCCTTAGGTATGAAGCTTTTTGTCAAAATGATTTATAACGAAGCAACTTAACCATGTTATGTAACATATCTTTGTAACAAGGTATCAATATGTTATGGCAGGTTTACAATATGTGGTATATCCTATGGTAAAAATAAATTTCATGCAGGATATAATCCATATCTAAAATCGAGTATAACATAACTTATTTACCCTATGACTAAGTGATTTCTAACCATAACACAAATTCATTACTTAGTCTACTTTCTTATGTTATGAATTAAAAAATCTCCCTTGAGTTTAAACACATTTAAAATATAAGTGTAATTTGTTACAAATAATGATTTTATATGATCTTTGTGACATGAGCCGTGATTTCTTTTTAGTTTACATTGATTTCAATGAGGCTTTCAATAGTATAGAAATGGAAAAATGTATAACACTAAACATCTGTAGATTTATAGTTCTGATATTGTCAAAAGATGTCGTATGAAAGGGAAAAATTCAAAATCGTTATTTGTATCATGTATTAGACACAACTCACAATTTCAACTTATTTTTTAAAGTTTTACCCAATCATTGGGTATTAGGCACAACAATACAATAACATATTCATACAATAACTTATTATTTAGACAAAACTTGTTACCTATTATTATCAAAAGCTTTCATCATAGCATAGTAGAGTATGGTATCTAACTATAATAATAAGGCAAGATTAATACCTGTTTGAAACCATCGCTGAAGTTGTTCTTGAAATAACGCACAACAGCATTGACGCCATCTTGTAACAGACCATATTTGGTACGCTTTCCTGTCCGCGTAAAGTCTGTCTTTAAAGCACCAGTTCCAGCATATTGCTTTGCACATGCATCTGCATTGTCAGCCCAAACTATAAAAACAATCAATTCATTTGTATGTAGCTCACTAAGGCTAGCAATGTCCATAGGTGTGGTCTATGAGGAAGGGGAGATTTGATTGTAGGTGAGATATATAACATGAAGAATTGTGAAAATATTTTATCACCATTTTCTTCAAAAGCCATCATAGTTTTTATTCTTCTTCTATTGTATTCTCTCCCATTCATTCCTCCAGTGGGGGAGGGGGGATCTCACATTCACATGTTAATTTACCAACAATGTAACTCATCTAAAACAAATGTTATTGAAAAATGGCAAAGGTTAAATAGTTAAGACTACATGATACTACAACCACGTGAATGTATTGTGTTACAATGCATTGTAGTTTGTTTTACCACCTATGAAGGTTAGCAAAATCTCATCTGTTTCATATGGTCAGAATTTATGTTTGCTACCATAGAATAGAGGGAATAATTGATGTGTGTGCAGTGATATACATGTATATAGAGAAAAGTAGAAATTATCATGATTTTCACTGTTAAATATTCAAAATTTAATTATGATTTCATATTTAGAATCTACAAACAAAATTACATCTACAAATGTGGTTTTAAAAATAGTTTATCAACTATGCAACTGCAATGCAACTGCAATCTTTTTTAAACGTGATTTCTAGGTATTTTCCCACAGACACTGAATTATAAAATCAAGGACAGTGAAAAAACTTCTTGCATTGGACACATAATACATGTGAGGTAATTTCTTTCTAAACACATTTTTCTTTCTAGACGCATTTAAAATGATCAAACTCAAAAAGGTTGGATGAAAATTGATCAAATCTTTTAATTTAACCTGGTGATGAAACTGATAACTGGCAACCATGTATAACAAGCCATTAACTGCTGAACCAGGCTGTGTCTACAATATTATTGGGAAACGACCTACTGATGAGCACTAACACAGGTGTTCAAAAATAGGAAGAATTATAGGAAAAATGGTTTTGAGATAATGAATATCAAATGGTTCAAAGTTACCCATTAATTATATATGTTTACATTTTTGAAGCAACTTTGAAAAATATAGGAAGGTCAAATGGATCAAAAGCACTTGCTTATAATGAAAAACAACAAATAAACAACTGTGCAAACAATGACACTAGAATGAAGATGCCATTCATCACCGCTGGCCCTTAGACAACAAACCCATTATTTCTGGGTGTCATAGTAACGGAATATTCCGATGTGACATGAATCAAGGTCAATCAAAAATGAATAAGTGCATGTTTTTATTATACTTCAAGGGGAAGCTCTAAAAGGAAGATCCTAAAATGAAATTACTTAAAGGGTTTAATTGAATTATCAGGGTAGCAATATCATATTACTAAGACAATATAAGTCCTGTTTTAAGAATTTAAAAACCAGAGGAGGTCCACTCCCACACCTCTATCAAGATCACATGACATTGAGAATACTCCACCAAAAATGTAAGTTTGATGCAGAGTATCATGGTCTTATAGTGATGAATACCAGGTGTCTAATTAAGAAACCTTGCATTTTAGCCCAAAAGAAAACAATGTCATAATCAGAACTGTACAATATTGCTACAATAAGCAGTCTTCTTAAAAATATAAAATATTCTATTTTGAGAAAATGGTGATTTCAGTTTTGATAATATTGGCAGCCATGGCACTGTGCGGTTGCACTCAGAGAACAACGGTAAGAGTAAATAATAAAAAGAAAGAAATGAAGGATTTTGATATATGAGTAAAGATATGATTTTGATATCAAATCAATTCAATTTTTTCAATTCAATTTAATTTATTTATTTCATAATTCTTATATATTATACACTATAAAAACAAGCCGCTAGACACCCCTGTGAGTATATGTTGCAGTTTAACAGAAATTTTTAAAATGACATCTAGACTACATATAAAAGAAAGTACTTATATGTATATTATGTTACATGTAGGAATATAAAAATGGTATTTACAATCAATTTTAGGATGTGCAATGTAGAAATGTTACAAAAAATCAGGTACCAGTATAAAATCAACAATACAGTATAGTATTGGTATTGTACATTATCGATAGATGAGAAGTTTTTTATATGAAGATTTAAAAATATTTAGAGTGGAGCATTTTTATCATCAGCAAACATAATAAATTTTAGATTAGGGGCAACAAGGCATATCATTTATGTAAAGAATAAATAATAACAGTCCAAGTACCGAGCCCTGCGGAACACCACATATGATATTGTTTTCACTTTCATACGGAAAACAAATGCATATATAGAATACTGTATCACATGTATTAAATCCGGGTGCTTTATTTTCCGAATTGGATTAAAATTGTTATTGCCGAATAAAAGTTTGCCAACCTGAAACCCCTAATGTAAAGTCAAATAAAACATTGCCGACCTGACACCCCTTAAATAATTTTGATTTCGAACTGATCTACAATTTTAATTACCTCCATTTGATCGACTCAGAAAACCTGACATCCATAATGATATAGATTATGAGTGATAGTTTGAGTAATTCCCGCGTCTGACAGACTCAGAATTAATACCGAGATTAAAAACTTTTAATACAAGGATTAAAAACTTTTAATACTGGGATTTCCAAAGCACTTGGATATGATTATATCTTCTTACATTTTAACTTTTTAACATGACGATCCATTTAATATTTTATAGACATTTTACTGCATGCATTTAACTGCAACATTTTTATTATTAAAAAAATTCAAATCTATCGTATGTTATTTATGAGTTTTGTTAAAGTATTGTAAGTAGATACTCGTTAGAAGATTACAATAAGTTGACACTCGTTAGACAACTACCATATTATCGCCCACTAAGATCGATCTTCAATTACTTATTTATATTTCCGAATTTTATGTTGCCGTTTCTGTTTTACATTCGGCAATCGGCAACTTTATATCCACGGCAATATTTCATGTTATACAGTAATAGGTCCATAACATAGAAATTGATTGGAGCCATAATGCAGAGTTCATTGTTTCAATCAAAAATATTCAAATTCTAAGAAGTGAAGGTGAATCTAGAAAACAAGAATCTACTGTGAGATTCTTATTAACAGGATTGAGAATTCTCTAAATGAGTAAAATGCACTGATGGGTGGAGTGCTTTCATAGAGGATTACTGCCCATATAAGGACAAATTGTGGCATCAAAGAAGTCAGAGTGGAATCAATTCCTCACTTCATTGAATGCCACTATCACTGATCACACAGTAATAAGCATGTTTGGGTAAAATAGCAGATTGGGGTGGTGGTGGGATATAAAACTTATATTGGAAATGTTTTTTTAAGGCTTCTGACTGCAGTCAGCAAAGGTATGGCACAGTGCAGGTCCAGATTGACCATATTGAGGTGAAGGCTCAAATGGTTGTGATTTAAACATTACTTATATTGGATATGTTTCTTTAATGCTTCTGACTCCAGCCAGCAGAGGTATGGCACATTGCAGGTTCAGATTGACCATATTGAGGTGAAGGCTCAAATGGTGGTGATTTAAACATTACTTATATTGGATATGTTTCTTTAAGGCTTCTGACTCCAGCCAGCAGAGGTATGGCACATTGCAGGTTCAGATTGACCATATTGAGGTGAAGGCTCAAATGGTGGTGATTTAAACATTACTTATATTGGATATGTTTCTTTAGGCTTCTGACTGCAGCCAGCAGAGGTATGGCACAGTGCAGGTCCAGATTGACTGTATTAAGGTGAAGCCTCAAATGGTAGTGATTTAGACATTACTTATATTGGATATGTTTCTTTAGGCTTCTGACTGCAGCCAGCAGAGGTATGGCACAGTGCAGGTCCAGATTGACTATATTGAGGTGAAGGCTCAAATGGCTGCAGATGGGGTCGCGGCTGGAAATTCCAATGTAGACAGGCTGGTGGATGCCGCCAACACACTAAAAGAAGCCAGTGATCGACTCAGTCGGACACTTCAGAACGCACCACAGGGAATTACACAAACAAGCACAGGTGAATACTTGTTTTACTATAATATTGCATATCATGAACTTATACCATGAACTGTCTCTTAGTGTTTACGATGATCAATCCAGCCAATATATCATAACTTCTTTGATTTATCAAAAGCTCACAGGTTCATTGGAAATGTCTTTTTCCTCTCATTGGAAACTACTGAAAGCTTGATGGAACTCTCAATTTCAAGTTTGCTATATACAAAAATGTTATTGTATCAAGCTGAATACCTTAAAAATATATTGCTGTTGTAATATCTAAATGCCTTGAAGCAATCTTGATAATATTTTGGACCATTTTCCAGTGTTCAGGCTGTTTCTTACATTGGCTATTCATTTGTTTTAGATCTAATTTACTTGGGATGTTTTGAGGACCGTGCAGAGAGAGATATGCCATTTAGACACACATTTCAACACCAGTACTTAACCCCACAGTTATGTATTTATGGATGTAACCACCTAAACGAAGGTAACTTTACAGTTATGTTCTCCAAGATGTAATGTTAACAAAGAGGAGGGAAAGCTCAGGAGCTTTAGAGATAACAGACATAATTACGTCTCTTGCTTACCATCTTCGTTTGTTCGAATTTTCACCAGCTAGTCTTCAAATACTACACTTCAATGTGATGTTTTAATCAATGTAGGCATATTCAGTACACCTTTCTTTATCTTGATATGAAATAAGAAGCTATGGTATTGGTTAACACCAGAAATGAACATAATATTATTCGAAGCATCTTTCGAAAATTTTGAGGATGCCATTTTGTTTGTCGATTTTTTTACCAATCAGAGACATAAATGTCATCTCACTCGTGTAGCTCAGCGGTAGCGCAGGTACCTCTTACGCAATAGATCCCGGATTCGATCCCCGGTTCAGGCAAGACTAAATTTGCTTGTTTGCGTGAAGTACTTCAGGGTGTTTGACTGAGTGGTCCGCAACTCGTACAAAAGGCTGTGGTGTGTACTTGTATGTCTATGTATAAGTGCACATAAAAGAATACAGGGCTCCTTCAAGGAGGGGTTTCTGGGTCTATCTTCCATGTTAATTACGTAAATTACGACTGTATATATACGGGTCTTACGTACCCAAGAGGTATTGCTCACCTTCATTGGTGGTAAACAAAATACAATACAATACAATACAGGTTTACATTATAAGCGTATGTCATCTTTGAACTCTGGGGTTACTCCCTCCCTGATGTTAATGTATGAATATGCAACCTGATTGGTTGAAATTTCAAGTCGACAATACTATGAGCCTATCCAACAAACAATGTTTTGGTTTAGTTTATTGGTGATAAACCTTTTGAAGCTGTAAATTTTCCGTCATCTTATATATTATTGCGCCTCAGAAAGCCACTACACCCAAATACAAGTACATGTAAAAGTGCAGTTCTTATTCACCAAAGACCTTGTATGTAATACTAATCAGCTTTTTCACCATGCGACCCACCAAATGGTGCCATTTACATTTTAAGACATTGCCCCAGATTATTTTCCTTGCAGGCTATAAGTATGCAGGACTTCAGCATGGCAATGAATGTTTCTGTGGGAAACAATTTGGACGCTATGGGTGGTCAGATACAACTAAATGTGAAATGCCATGTTCAGGGAATGCAAACGTAACATGTGGTGGACCTTATGAGAATTCTATATATCTGATTACTCTAATACAAGATAGTGGCCAGTAACAAACATGCAACAAGTTCAATAGTGCACGATAGGTGATATAGGACAAGATATTCTTCCTAGATATTTCACAATGGTGCAATATTTTAATTGTACAACCACTGACCCATTTTTGACCCATGACTTTCTATGGGAGTTTCATATATAATAAGTGCCATGTATTTTTCGAATTCAAATTGGGTGTTTGATCAGGTTGTCTCAAGAGCACTGAAACATGATATAATTGGTTGATTTAGGTGAGGCCATGTGATGTCACATTTAGTAGTAAAGGAGAAGCCTCTCTTAATCAAACTGTAAACTACATGTATACTAGTCAAGGATTCATATACCATGTATACTGTATTTGATGTAAAGACAATCAAAGAAGGCAATATAATAATAAATGTAAAGGATAGTTATCTATCTTTTCTGAGCAGTAGGTAACATTTCTCTTATTCATATGTAATAGTATTGTTGTAACAAATAAGTTTGAGCAAAAGTTCTCATATAAAGGCAATCCATGTACAAAAAGAGACAATAGAGGATAAAGATGTTTTATTTAACTTTTTAATGAGACATTTCACAAAATTCTTTTGCTCAAAGTCTCTGCCATAACAATATTTGAAAAAACTCCAAATGTTCCAATACAAGTTGATTTCATGATACTGCCTTTTATAATTAATTGATTGATATTAAATTTGGAATTTGAAAAAATCACTGTATTGTAAAATAACTTACCATTTTTGAACATTTTCTCAAATGACACTTGATCCTCAACCCTCTCTCCCGGACTAAGCATTCCTAGTTGCTATGGAAACAAAGAAGTAATAATTAATGAACCTCATGTTATGGAAACAAAACCAAGTTTATATCAAACATCTTCATTCATTTGTTTTCAAACAACTTCAGTCTATACATATAATCTAATGTGTCAATCCAGAATTGAGATTATTTAAAATAATGAAATTAAACATTAAAAAAAAGAATTTGATGTTTAAAGATGCATTATGCCATAGGTTTCTCCCCCAGACAATCAATGATGCCCTATTGTTATCGCTCATATAATATCTCACATACCATGGATATATCTTGAGAATATCTTTTTGGTATATCGGAAATAATCAAAAGAACAACCAAACTCCAGAATTAAACACAATCGATTCCTCGGCTAGCGAGGGGAATCCCCATTGAGTCACACAAGCGGCCACAAGCACCTTGAACCAGACAACCAATCAGGTGTATGATAAACAAATTCAACGACCAATCGGATAACAGGAGGACTTTCCCGGTATATTCAAACTTCAGATTGAATTAATTTCTTCGAAAATAATTAGATCGGACAGCACAATCGCAAAATTAACACTGAAGGAGGAGGATTTGGGACTTCTTCTTTGGTAAGTAGATGGGTATATATGTGGTGAAACTCAATATGCGAAAAAGTCCAGAGGGGTCTTGATTGTGCTATCCTATGGCATAGGGCCTCTTTAAACAACAAAAACTAGACCTTAAAAATAACTTTAAAGATGATGATATAATTGAATTAATTTGCAAATTATATTTACTATAACCAAACTAAAATTATCCACGACACATTATATTTCAAAATATTGAATCTATACACCCTCAGGTGTCCTTTTCCTTTTCATGTATCTGTAGTTATTATGTATAGGTATGGAAACTGGATTTAAATAAATAATAAATTGAATATTGAATTGAATGTATAGTGTGATACCTGGAATTGTTCTAGCAGACTTCTTCTGGCAAGTAGACTTTGAACGACATTAGTCCGGTCAAGGCAATCTATACAGTTAGTTCTAAACACACCTTCTTGTTGACGTAATAATGTTCCATCTTTCTTAATCATAAAAAAACTGCAAAAACAATACATATACAGGGTGAGTCAAAACGCATATAATATAATAAAATAGCTGCATACTAAAATATATATTTTTGTAATACCCAATTACAGTATTGTCAATCATAATCTAAATGTTCTGTTGATGTCAATGTATCTTTTCTGTAAAAACTTTTCTGTCATTTATCAAAAAATTACAACACAAATGTACATGATATTCAATTCTCATAATATGCAATTCTCATGATGTTCAATCTTTTAAAACTAAAAAAAAAACTCATGCAAGAAAGTTACAGTTCTGAATATGTCAGTGTTTTTTCTACAGTAAAACTTGTCTAGAGCAAATACCAGCCAAAAGTGTTTCAATGGGTAGGAGTTAAAGTTTTAATGTTTTTTAACATGGAAAACTATGCCAGATCAAAAATAGGACCAAGAAAGCATTCGCATTAACAGGTGTTCAGATTAGAGAGGTGTTCAGATATACAGGTTTTATTGTAACTATTGATCGTACCTAAATTTTTCCTGCTCTTCAGCCAGCCTGTCCATTAGAATGGATAGCCTATCCCAACGCATCTTTCTGCATTCATGGTGGAAGTCAAATGATTCATACCTAAAAATATTGATGTACTGCATTGAAATTAAATATTGAGGAATAACCATAAGCATAACCAAAGTTATTGAAAAACGTCAAATTGACTATTTTATTTATCTGAAAAGTAGGCTAAAGCCAGGTTCTCTAAATCAACGTATTTTTAACACAATGTATGATAAGTTTTCCATTTCACATAATGACAAATGTTCATGGCCTTATTTTTCAAATATCAATAACATTTTGATCAAACATGGGTTAGATAGAGTCATTCATGTTGATGACATGGATTGGTATCAGCACGGTGTATAACCCAAACGCTCCTACATGCACGAGGGAGCGTTTCATTACTGAAATTAAACAAAGAAACGCTCCGGAGTAGGAAAACTGTCTGGTGGGAATGATGAGCCGTCTGGCAATTTCCCCAATAATGGGAATAAGAGGTATGAGTTACATATTTCGAGTATACCATTCGATGGGTGATATATTCATGTTGTACGTGGCTGGCTGTTGACGTTTGAAGCAATTGGGAAGAGCTGTACGAAGCAGTATAGTTATCAAAATTCAAAAACGTATTTGTCATTCTACCGGTTAAAACCCCTTTTGTCGATACATGTGATTTGTTGAGCCAAGATTAGAGCACCAACGTATATTTTAGTCAAATTCCAATGCTTCAACGCACCATACATTATCGTAATAGTGATTTGATGACCGAAAATCCAGTCTTAAAAATGATGACATTCTCATATTCAAGAAACGCTCCGATCTGGTTAACACAGCGAATTGGAAACGCTCCGGTAGTCTAGATCAGTTAAGGAAATATATAGCTTGCCTTTCCTTTTCAGGAAGAGAAAGAAAAGATCTATTATACCCCTTGGCATCAATAGAAGAAAGATTAATTCACATATAACTTTTCGTCTTTTTCTATAGTTTTATGATTTAGCACATATGTAGGCATGACATCATCTAATGTATAGGCTTTAATCAGCTAGTTGCACGTTTAGCACCACCAGGTTCAGATGTTTCAATTTGCCTAACAAGTACAACACGTTTTTGAGAGATAGATTCGATTCGGAACTCTTCTCTAATAATCTGAAAATGATATCAAAACAAAATGGTAAGAGCGTTTCTAAAATTGTGGTCTAAATCGACAGAGCGTTTCGAGGAAAACAAGCGATTTCTCGGGAACAAGTAATGGATTTGGACTGGGATTTTAGGAAATGAGAATATACGAGTTTGTGATCTACTACTTAAACAGAAAGATTAACGTTTTCTTAGAAATACTAGTTTAATTCGTAATTTGTGGTCAAATCGTCATCTTCAGATTCGTTCGATCTACACTACGGAGCTTTGATCAAGCAAATAACAAGTTACCACCAGAAGTTGAATAAATAAGATCTTTGCTCACGGTATTGTTCATCGAATGGTACATAATATTTCACCATGATATATGATATGTAAGAGAAACGAGAGAAACAATACTTACGGTCATAGTAGACTCTTCATTAGCCGCCATTTTATTTCGCTCCGGAGCGTTTCCGCGTAAATGAAACGCTCCGTCGTGCATGTAGGAGCGTTTGGGTTATACACCGTGATCAGGGATATCTTAAAATATCGAATGAAAGAAGCAAAAGCTGTTTTCTAGACACCATTGCAGACAAATCTTCTCTTGTTCTGTACAGCTCCTTAAAAACAAATTGTTTTCAAGAAAACTACCTTAAGACTGACTTCGACTTTTATGGTCAGAAACTGAAATTCAAGGCAAGATCAGGGTGTTTTGGTCTGAATACTGACAAGGAGCGATGGGGCCAAGGTAATGGGTTATGCAATTTATGTGATAATCCAGCATCGTATGTTTGTATGTCCTCATTTTAACAATGAAAGAACTAACTTCTTTCTGAACGTGATAAATTCCTGTAATGAACAACTGTCATCTAGCCTTATTTCTGCTAAAATTCCAATTAAAATATGCTTGACCATGGGTGATAAAGCTTTCATTGACTGGGGAAATGAACAAGGTCATATTTTAGATCAATGTGTAAAGAAATATCTGAAAGCAATTTATATACCCTATAATAAGGATTGATGTATTTTAGTGACATTATGTATTTTAATTTTGACTGTAATTGTATAAGCATGTTTGTATGTGGATGCACCACATTTTCAATGTGTGTGCCACTGTTTTAAAAGTGATTCCAATAAATAAATAAAAAAAATAAATAAATACAAGGCATTAACATGACAAAATGTCATGACATTGAAAAAGTTACTGTAGGTCAAATGTGAAATATAAAGTCAAATTTGAACTTCTGAAAACTTGGAGATGATTTTGAAAAAAATTGAAGTCAGTCTAACAGTATTTGTTCAGTTATTGGAAGTTGTTTGTTACAGACGCCAATCACCAACTGCCAATCACCAACCGCCAACCACCGACTGCCTTAAAAAAATGAAGATAAGAAGTCAGATCATCAACACCATTTTATGATGACATCTCACATGCTTATATTGTAGTGTATTTATGATGTTACACTTACCTAATTAATGCATTCTGGGAATTGGTGACCTGTTGAGCAAAAGCTTTCTCTAATAGATCCTCTGGTCCCTTGTGGTCAATCTTAAATAAATAATTCCTCTATCATTTTTAAACAACACAAAATGGTTGACATTTTCTCTTGCTCATCCTGAGATTGCGATGACAAGGTTTTCCGAAAAACCTTCAAAAATCACCACCAGAAAAGAAGATGGCCTGCCAAAAAGTTAATCAGCTCTAGAACTTGATATCCTCTATCATGTGTGTGAATTTAGAGAAAATCTGGAGCATGGTTTCCCTGAAATGGTGATGACTAGATTTTTCAAAACACCTTCAAAATGGCCAACAGAAAACAATATGGCCACCCAAAAGTTAACCAGCTCTAGAACTTGATATCCTCTATCATGTGTGTGAATTTAGAGAAAATCTGGAGCATGGTTTTCCTGAAATGGCGATGACTAGATTTTTCAAAACACCTTCAAAATGGCCACCAGAAAACAATATGGCCACCCAAAAGTTAATCCGCACTAGAATTGGATATCCTCTATCACGTGTGCGAATTTGGAGGAAATCCGCTGAGCAGTTTTCCTAAAATGGTGATGACAAGATTTTCAAAAAAAACTTCAAAATGGCTGTCAGAAAACAAGATGGCCACCCAAAAGTTAATCGGCTCTAGAACCTGATATTCTCTATCATGTGTGCGAATTTGGAGAAAATCTGATGAGTGGTTTTCCTGAAATGGTGATGACAAAAAACGACTACGTATATCCCACAGATGGTGTGTTAAAAAGACATGACTTGGAATATGAGCCCAAATATTCTAGATTGAATCATATTTAGGCAAGGTACATGTAACTATCTCAATTTGACTGCCTTTAATGATGACGTGCCACATTTAAATGCTACGATGGAAATATTGATAACGTCTTACCAAATTGATGAGGACTTGTTTCCCATAATTCACCACTTGACTGTCAAAATGCCTTGAGAATCCATCCATCTGAAAACACACAATGAAATACATTGTACATGTACATTTATATATAGTACATTAAAAACATTTTACAAATATCTGAAGTATGAACTTTCTAGTAATGCTGGAAATGTGACTGGCAAGTTTACTCATTTATTTATTCTTCAAGTACATTCACACCCCTTGGGATCAAGTACATGTACAAACAAAAAATATAACAATTATAAAGGAAGGAAAAAAGAAGACATTTACATAACTACATAACTATTACTATTAATGATGCTGACGCATTGGTGCACTAGAGATATAGCTATTGGTACTGGATGTAAATATATATTTTGCTACATTTATACAGTTTTGATCTTTACCAGACATGTAAATAAATAAATGGATTTTCTTGTACTGGCATTTTCATTTTAGACAAAATTATACTTCTTTGTTTATTATATTTCGTACAGTGAAGGAGATAATGTTCTTCATTTTCTATAATATTGCATGTTTCGCATTTTCTCTCCTCCAGAGGTGTCTGTTTTGGTCTTGTGTAGCGACCGAGTTGAATTTGGAGATTATGTGCACTTATTCTAAGTTTAGTAAACTCTCTACGTAGGTCAACACGTTTTATATAATCTAAATAATTTTCATAGGCAAAGTTACTTTTGAATGTGTTATAATATAAGTTCATATAAAATAAGCTCAATAAAATAAATGATTATCACAGGACAAAACTCATACATTCACTTTCTTGCATTTTCAAACCTGTAACACAATGTCTTTACATAAGAATCAACATAATGCACACTAGACAAGACTAGTGATATCAAATTCATTGAATTGGTTTGTTGAACAGAAACAAGAAGCATGACAAAAATGGCAATATCTCAAAAGCAACCTCTGAGAAATTGAGTTGGAATTACTTCTACAGACAATATCCAAATGTATTAAGATGAACCAAGTTGAAAAAAGACCTTTTTGACCTTTTTTGACATTGAGAAGATCACTGAAGGTCAAATCTCTAATCTAAAGTCAGATTTGAACTGATGAGAATTTGTAGATAACTTTAAAAAAAATTGAAGTTAGTCTAAACAGTATTTGTTAAGTTATTTGAAGTTGTAAGAATTTGTTACACATGCCATCCAAAAACCGTCAGTCACCATCACAAAAAATGGAGATCATAAAAATATGTCACCACCTTTTGATGGTGACATAATGCCAGAAAAAATACATGGCACTAAGAATCATAAAGATGGCGGTAGTAGTGGAATGTATATTGACATAAACACCAAGTAGGAATTTTTAAGTCAAGTTTTATGTCATGATTCACACTATTTCAGTTACTCATTAAGGTCGATATAATTGGCTAATTTGCAAATGAATCAGACCATTGCCAATTTAGTAAATAACATATGGGTTTAACATTACTTTGTACTTCTATACCCTATGGCCAACAATGTTAAAGATTTTGTTGCATTGTAACTTCATACATAAACATAATATCATAAGCATGTAAATCTATTCAAACAGTGTTTTTATTAAGAAATAGAGAGCATCTGGTTCTGATGGTTTGACATCAGATTTTTACAAATACTTTTGGCCTGACATCAAGCACTATGTTTTAGATGCAATTAACGAATCATTTTATACTGGCACATTGCCAACCTCATTTAGAAAAATCATTATTTCACTTTTATACAAAAAAGGTGATAGAGAATTGTTAAAGAACTATAGACCAATAAGCTTATCAAATACTGACTATAAAATATTAGCCTTTGTACTTGCAGACAGGCTACAGTTAGTAGTTTGGAAACTTATCAGTTTACATCAAACTGCATATATAAATGGTAGATACATTGGCAATAGGTGTCGCTTGGTAATAGATATTTTTGATTATTTTAACAACAATAACACGGAACAAGGAACAATTCTATTTTTAGATTTTCAAAAAGCGTTTGATTCTATTGAATGGAACTTTATGTTTAAAACTTTAAAACAATTTAATTTTAATGATAACATCATAAAATGGCTCAAATTATTATATACAAATCCATTTATTAATATTAAACAAAATGGATGGCTATCTCATAATATTCCTATGGAATGCTCATGTCGGCAGGGCTGCCCCGTTTCTGCAATCGCATTCATATTATGCTGCGAAGTTATGTCTTTAAAACTGATTATAAATGAAAAAATCAAAGGAATTGAAATTGATAACACAGAGTATAAAATATCACAATCAGCAGATGATACATCATTATTTATGAAAGACAAAGCATCCATAAGTGAAGCATTAAAAACCATTAAACAGTTTTCAAAATACTCAGGCCTACAACTCAATTTAAATAAAACAGAAGGAATATGGCTTGGAACCAATCGTGCTTTTGAAAGTTTATTTGAAAATATTAATTTTACAGATGAACCTGTAAGATATTTAGGCATATACATAGGTCACAATGAAAATAAATGCTATGATTTAAACTGGAATGAGAAAATAAATGACCTTGAAAAAACATTAGATTCTTGGAAAAAACGCTACCTTACTTTATTTGGAAAAATCACTATTGTAAAGTCTTTAGCCATATCAAAACTTGTATATTCAGCATCTATTTTATCATTTAAAGAAGAAATTATTAAACGAATTAACAATTTAATATACAACTTTTTATGGGATGGGAAGAAAGACAAGATTAGACGAACTATTGTTATAAACTCTATAGACAGTGGAGGTCTAAACATGTTAGATTTTCAATCACAGCTAAATGCTCTTAAAGCTGTATGGATTAGTCGTATATATGACAAAAACAACACATTTAATAACATTCCGTACTTTTATTTTAACAAACTGGCTCCGAATATGGACATTTTATTAAAAATGAATGTTTTCTCTAATGAGCATCTTGATAAACTGCCTGTGTTCTATAAACAAGTTCTAAAAGCATATAATAGTTGTAAAGACCATGATATAATCAATAAATTAAAACACCATGAAATAATCCAACAAACCATATGGAATAACAGATTATTTCAATTGAAAGGCAAACCACTTTTCTTCAAATCTTGGATAGATAGTGATATTATCTATGTCAAAGATCTCATAAATCAAAATGAATTTTTAAATGTTAACTATATTTTTGAAAAGTTAAAAAATAAAAAAAATTGGATTTCTGAATATTTTCAAGTCCTAACTGTAATGAAATCAATAAAAGGCTTTATTAATATAGAACAAGTAAAATTCACAAATATACCAAGAAAACCCAACTTTAAAGTAAAAAACATCCAATTAGACTTTAGAGGTAAAAAATCCAATTTCTTTTATACAATACTGAAAAATAAAAAATCTGAAAAATGGTTTACCTACAAGAAATGGGAAAGAGATTTTTGTATAACAAATGAAGGTAAAATAGATGAAATAAATTGGCCAAATTTTTTTACTAGCAAGATAATAAAAGTTAAAGACAAAAAAATTGCCAATTTTAATTTCAAAATAATTAACAATATTCTTCCTGGATTAACTGACTTATTTCTCTATGGGATAACAGATAATTATCATTGTAGTATTTGCAATAATTTATGTGACCTGAAACATATTATTTTTGAATGTTCCTTAGCAAAAGATATATGGGCACTGATACATAAAACATGTGGCCTTAATATTTCTTACAGAAAAATTATAATTGGTTATAATGGCCATGACTCACATACACACTTTTTAAATTATTTTATCAGCATTGTTACAAACAGTATTTATAAATCATGTATTTTAGAATTGAATAGTAAAAAACAAAGAACATTTGAAAGCATGATCTCATTGATAAAATATGAAATTAACTACCGAAAAAATGTATTTTATTGTTCAAAGTGGAATTTTGTATCAAAACTGTTCAAATGAAAATTGTATGAATCATCTATTTTATGTCATTGTTTATGTTATGTAAAATAACCAAAAGCTGAATAAAGACTATTTTAAAAGAAAAAAAGAAAGAAAAAGAAATAGAATAAATACTGCAGGGCTAGGCACAAACGTTTTCTGTACCACCAAATGACTGAATGAAGGGAGTGAGACGTCCGAAAGCTTTTGTGCTTACGCCCTTATGTATTTATTACTCAATAAACTACCAAATCTGAGGACTACATTACGATTAGAACATGAAAACTCGCCAAAATTTTGCAAAATTGTCACTTCATTTCCTTATCAGGTATTATATCAACCAATAAAAACCAGGTGAAATATTGACTTTATTCAAATTTTATAGAAGGCGTGAATACAGTCATGTTCAAATTGTTAAGAAATTACATTTATTCATCAGACATTAAGCAGCACATGCATCCATGGTATAAGAATAACTTTTATTAGATAAATGTCTGTAGCATGAAGAAGTTCATGTGACCTTTATTTCCATAAATTAACAGTTTATAACCACAAAATAATAAAACAGTCACATAATTTCAAAGGCAGTTCATAAATACAAGAAATTTAAAGGTAAATATTTTTCAACAATTCTTTATGATGCTCAAGATGATAACATTTCAAATGAGGTTAAAGTGGTCTTGGTGAAATTTATTGGGTTATTTTGCATTTATTGTCCACATTTATTTTTTCAATGTGACTTTTAAATAAACAGATGCATCACCAGTCTTTAGCCCCTAGAGATGTGATGATACAATGACCCATGAACAACAGACAGTCGCAACTATGTAATTCACTATTTTTAGGGTTACAAAACAAGCTAGTGTGAATGAATACAATGAGACATCTTCTGAAAAGTAGTATATGGACACATCAGTTATGATTTTATGATTTCAAAAAAAAAGATTATAAAATCGTTAGCTATGTTTGTTGTGCCAGATGTGACCCCATAAACACGATTACTCTATTTATCTTTTGTTATATAATCATTAATGTATGGCTTGATAGTGGACCCCTCTTGCAACAAAGTTGAATCTTAGCAACTTAATCGGCGTAAGCCACAGGAGGATCTAGAAATATTGACTAGAATAAAGCTATATGGTCAAAAAATGGGCAGCCATTTTGAAAATAGGCAAGCTTTTGAACCAGGAGTCATAGGGGGTTTTCTGTACTGATGTTGAACAAAAATAATTCAAAACGGGAATCATATTAACAGAGGTTTTAAAATGTGCCACTTTTGTTGACAGACTGGCGGACAGACTGCTGGCCAGACAAACTGATGGACAGATGGAAAGGAGCAATTGCAAAATCTTACCATGTGAGTTAAAAAACAACAATTTCTCTATCGATGGCAACCAAGTTAAAATGTCATGAGTCGTGACCATCTGCATTAACATGTAAGCGCAAAAAGATATAGGTGGGCAATTACCTAATTACTTTGTGAACAAGCTATAAGAAAATTGCAAAGTCAATTCAAGGAAAATGGACATCAATGATTTAGTCACTGTCATGTCAGGTTCAATGTCACAAACCCAAGGACACGAGATTTAGGGGTCAAGACAAGCAAAATGATTGTAGCCTTATTTACTCTTGTGTCCCTGTCAAATTTCCTCTCAAAAGCAAATAACCCAACAGGAAGTTTTTGTAACAATGGACAGTATAACTAACTCAGAGCACATTTTAAATTGACACTGTTGTTAGCATCTGTAAGCATGAACATAATCTTTGTAAACTAGTGTCAATGTCTTCAGATATCACACTCTAGGACACCACATTAGCATAAACATAAAATATGCAAAGCACAGTAAAAGTTAAAGGATCACCTTGAAACATGCAGACACAGAAAGTCCATGTACCCATAGATAGGGCTTTGACTTGTGATTAATTAAATTAAAGTGATGAAGATAACATTTCTAAAACCTCTGGGTTGTTAAAACATGTATACCACTGCATGTACAATAAGAACCTTTTACAAACAATATTAAGATATAAAATTAAAAAACTGTTAACTCTCTACATTCTACTCTAAAATTTCTTCAATTTGAGTATAATATATCCATAGTTCGAAGAAATTTGCAAAATTCCACATTTTCTGAGGCCCAATCATAGTACTCTGATTTGCCTTTCATTTGAGTATAATAAATTAAAAACATGAACAAATCCCTCCACTAGTATTCAAGTTATCTTCTGAATGACTGAATGACTGATGGAGGGCTTCACTACATCCCTATAGATCAATGGATATTTTGTTAATTTGGATAATTACATTTTGAGTAGATATTGTCGAGACATTTTCATGAATACATGTATATTAGGGGTCCCACGATACATTATGAAACGATATGATACGTATCGCGATACTCAGGTCACAATACGAGCAACGATATGATACATTATAGTGTAGTTGAACGGGGGGGGGGGGGGGGGGGACAACACTGACGTAGCTGAGGTCGAGTTTAAAGTCTATCACTTGCAGTGACATTTGATTCAGATGCAGTATAAAAACTATAGTCTAGTATCAAGCCTACCTGCTGTATAGCAGTCCCTAATCTAGTCTATGCATTGTAGTTTGCAAGTTTTTGGAAGTCCGGCTGTGCTTTCCCTTTACTGAGGGATGTTCAAAAGTACTACAGTAGATTTTCTATTGGGGGATATGAGGATAACACAACTACCCATGTTTGATGCTTACACGGCCATAATTCTATCAAATGTGTTCAAAACTTTCAAAAAGTTTCAATTTCTAACCTCCGGCCAACATTAATACTCCGAACGTAAATATTGTTCGTTTTTTATTAGATTTATCAATAAATTGAACGCGTTCTATCCAATAAAAAGTTCAAAGATTATATCTATTCGTACTAAAATTGTCCAAAAGTATATAGAATTATAAAACAAAGTACGTTGATATACGAAGACATAGGAGACACGAGTTATTTGTTCGCATTTAGACTGTCAATCCGCTAAGCATTCTGTTCGCATTTATACAACATTTTGGGCGTGTCATGTCCAGTGAGAAACCAAACAAAAGATATAAAAACAATTTCTCAAAAAAAGCCAAATATTCAGTAGATTTCGGCAAAATATGATGGATTTCAGGTATGTTAATAATATTTTTGGTGTATCGATATTTGAGTCTTCGTATCGATACGCTCGTATCGTCACCCAACGAGCTGATGCATCGATATATCGATGAATCGCGGGACCCCTAATGTATATGTAAAACTACACGAGAAACTGAACGCTGCATTGATTTATCTAGGATAATGATTTTTCTAAAATTAAACCTATTTAGTGTTTATATCCAGTTGCCACTCTATTTGAATTTCATAAAAAAAATTCAGTGTCATCAGATAGTGTCAAAATAAGTTTAAATGGCATAACATGTTCTCAGTAGTGTATGGGGCTCTAGTGACTGTCATTTGTGAAACTAGGCTGCCAATCACATGGTGTTTACTGCAACCAATCGCTAGGTCATCATTAAAACTGATCAAATTCCCCACCTTGGGGGTCTGGTTGAGCAAGAAATATCAACTTTTAAAATATAATATAGGGCTAAACCAAATCTTCTCACGAATACACTTCAGGGCAGGTGTGGCATTTGATAAACTAACCTGTGAAACTGCTTGTAGAGTTTGTTCAACTAAAAATTCATTTCATCTTAAAATCAAAATACTTGAAAATTCTAAATATGGCACCATTCAAAAGAATGATTTAAAAAATATTGTGGTTCAAAATGAAAGAAAACAAAAATAAAAAATATATTCCACCAATGGGATTTGAACCAAGACCTTTGGAACAAAAGTCCAAGCTCTAACCGTACTCCAATGAGGCAAAAGTGATAAGAAAGAGAAACTTTATGATCATTTTTGAAAAAAGTCTTATTAACACACTTAAATTTCTTGAAAATGATTAACTTTACTACAAATAATATCATTACACATGTCTGATTAGGTAAGTATTTTGATCTACATTTAGGATAAATGTTGTTTTATTCAGTTTTCATTTTGAGAATGACTTCCTGTTAGAAATCCAAAGCCTAGCAAAATTTTTCAATTGGGAAATGATATATGTCCTAGAACCAGTTGTTTTTGTCACCTGAACTCATCCTAATAGATAGGATGAGATGAGACTATTTTCTCGAGAGATATGGCTTAAAATCTCAAATTTCTCCATCTAAGTCTTGGAAAGACACTTTAAGGCATCAGCTTATAAACGTTATGGACCAAATCCAAAAAGTGGTAACTGAAGTGGCACCACTCTTTTAAGTGAAATCAAATTATTAGAAAGGGTAAGAGCAAAACAACAAAAAAGTACATTACTATTATTGAAGTCAGTAACTATATTATACAACCAATACATTCACTCAGATAAAATAATCAGTTTTGTTACATTGTATCATGCTGTAATTTACAACAATCAACTTAGACATATTTTGTAGACAGCGTAGTCAAATCATATTGCTCAACAACAACTTTGATCAAATTGTTACAAGCTAATGACATACTTGCCAGAGTAATATATTCAAGAGTTTTAAGGCTAAGAAATTAATCAATTTAGACATTATGACAGTTGGAGTTGATGCAATAATTGTCTAACTGTCATCATTTAAACTGATGACATTTGTCAATTAAACTCTAAAGTGTGTTTTGTCAATATCTGCATTCAAAACGCTCATTACATAATTTCACTCTTCTTTTTTATCCTTCCACACTGCAAACACTCTAGCAGGAGCACCTGATCCCTCTCTGATTTTCATTGGCAAGAAATACAGCTCAGCCCCATTTACTGGTATGCGGTCTATGTTGGTGACCATTTCTGCACACCAAATGTTCTCTGGTAGCAGAATTTTGTGTACTGGCCATTCCAAATCAGATCCCCTGTCACAACTGATAGTGTCACTTGCTACACCTACTATATCACGGTTATAAAGAAGCCATTTAGCAAGGTCCCCGCTCATTCCTGGGTACACAGTTGGCTTGCTTGGATCAAATGCATCTTCAGAACCCACAAACTTGTTAGCATCAGGCCAGTATTTAGACCAACCAGAATTCATTATAACAATAGCACCTTTAGGAATTCGCCCATATTTACTTTCCCATGCTTCAGCATCTGATATATCTACAGTTGCTTCTTCCCCTGGTGGTGTCTTTTTCACCTTTTCACGGTCGAGGACAACACCAGGACCATGGAGGTTTGCAAAGGGAATCTGGTCCAGTTTCCAGGCAAATTTAGCAAAGTGATATGGAGCATCCATATGTGTGCTTGTGTGCTCTGGGGTACCCACTCGATGTGATATTACACTGAAATAAAGAATTCAATATTTAAGAACTTTATGGTTTAAGAGATTTTGCCATATGACACACAGTTGTAGCAATTGTAGCAATAGTGAATTTGGAGCACAAATACACAGCATGTTCACAATTTGAAGGATAATAAAAGTAATGGCCTTTCAGAATCGTGGCCAAATATATTGTTTGCACAGAACCATTTGCAATAATTAATTTTCTTACCAATTATGAACAAAATGAAATTTCAGTCATTGTTTTTAAATGAGCTCCAATGCATTTTTAAAAATTTATTATCCATATATATATAAAATAAATGAAACTTACAATTTACTTGTCCCAAATGGTCCATACATGGTTTGGGTCAGGTTGAAAATACCATGGACTGGTGCTTTTGGCGATCCAGGGAAAAGCTTGTGAGACATATCAACATGTCTGCAGTTAGATCCAGAAAGAATGCTAAAAACAACAACTGCACATGAAAAGGAAAACATCTTGTCCAGATGGATGCCCTCAAGCGGAAACATGGTGTAACTGCAAGTAGGCTATTTTATACTATTATACAAGGTAAACCCAAATATGCAACAAATAAATAAAGGTCACCATAAGGGGAGGCATCAAAAGTTCGATGTTTGTCTAGAAACTTAACCAATAAAGTTTGGGGATGGGGGGTATTTCAATACTGAAAAGTTTTCAATGACAAAATCAATGTTTTGAAATTTCAAAAACTCTTGAGCTTTACTGCCTTCAAAAATATAATAAAGTGGCACAAACTGTACTATTGGAATGACCAATTTAGATGCTAACCATCATTCTTATAAAAAAAATTGCTGAAACTTGCTGATTTCCTTCATATACTGGACAAGTTTACTTTTTGGTTTTGTCATTTCAATTCTCTGACACAATTTTCAACATATTAAGAATTAAGTTCTAAGTGAGAGGGGGTAGAGGGGTCAGAGGTTGAAATTAGTTAGTTGAAGGCACACTGTACTTCACAGCCGATAAAATGGTTCAAAAAAATTTCTTCTGGTTTTAGAGTCGCTTTCATGGTTTTAAACCTTCCCTGGTCCTTCTATTTTCGAACTATGCATGAAGGTCCATTCAAAGTTCGCTACTGAACCTTAAAAAGCTGTGTTTAGACTGAGGATTGAAAGTTGTTCACAACAACTTTCAGCTCATCTTTATCGGGACAAAAAGGAAGTGAATTTTCGAGTCAAGTATATCAAGTGAAATAGTTGTTTTTATATGAAGCTGGGAAGTCAAAACATTAAAAATAGAAATCATAGTATGCATTTGAAGATCATTTTGAAGCATTTAAAATGGAATCCACAGCAAAATTTGAAATGATTAAAATATTCCCACACCGACCTCAGATAAAACACTTCCGGTTTTTGACGATTTTATCGATCAAAAATTATTTTTGTAAATTTGTCCAATATCTGCTGAAATATGATATGTAAACTTGTGTTGATTGTTAAATTACAAAATAGGTAGGGTAAAGAATATGTCAAAGTCGTTAGATGTTGTCCCAGAAGCAATATTTTGTTATTTTTATCACCCAGAATTTCTTTAATTTTTTTGACAGACAACAAACTTTTTATGCCTCCCCTAACCTTCATTCAAAGCAATGAGCTCACATATATCTCCCAACCGCTTCCTGGTCATCTCAACCCCAAGTCAACTCAACCCAGTAAAACTCAACCCTAGTAAAACTCAACCCCTGTAAAACTCAACCCCGTAAAACTCAACCCCAGTAAAACTCAACCCCTATATATTTTAAGTTAATTTTCATATGTTTGTTTATAATTAAAAAAAAAGGTTTTATAATTTTGTGTCAATTTTTGATTATCATTCTAAGACCTGCCTTGTATAGTTAATGATGACCACAATCTCTAAGCTCTAAAGAATTAAGAGTCATTTAATCATATTCCACATATCATCTTATTTCAACGCCTTCTTGGTACCATTTAAATCTTGCTAATACGTTTGGTTTGTTGTAATGCCTCTCAGGTTGACACTATTGATCATTAATGATTTCATTAATACGTTTATTAAAAAAACATTGTTAATTGCCAAGATTTTATTTTCCTAAAATTTGATTTTAAAATATGTTAAACTGTTTGTGAATATATATATCTCGAATCATTATCCAAGATGAAAATAAACAGTGTCTAATATTATTATACCTCTGTGAAATATTCTAATTCTAACAAAGCATTGTTTAAAATATGCAAAATGCTAAATTATCAAAGTTAATGAACTCGAGAACTAGACATTACAGAAATGAATGGGGTTGAGTTTTACTGGGGTTGAGTTTTACAGGGTTGAGTTGACTTGGGGTTGAGTTTTACCGGGGTTGAGTTTTACTGGGGTTGAGTTGACTTGGGGTTGAGTTGTACTGGGTTGAGTTGACTTGGGGTTGAGATGACCTGTCACCCTCCCAACCTCATGGCTACAGGCACTGCACCTAACTTAGTGTGTTCAGAGGTTTTTTACTTGATAACTAAAAAAGTAGTGGAGCAATTATGTTCATAATTTTGGAGATAACAAAATAGAATCTGTTTCACGATACATTTACCTGGAAATGGAATTAAGCATAAATGGGTCAATGAGACCTGCAGCTCAGCATGTCAAAGACAAGGCTGAAAAGGCAAATTTCGAATTATTAAGTCTAATTTCTAATGGTAATATGAAACAATCATTATGCTAAAAACTATTTGATCAACACATAAAGCCCACATGCCTTTATAGATCTGATGTATGGGGTATGGATATCTTAAACTCGAGTAAAATTAAAAAAGACCCACAATGGGCATAAGAAAAGAGATATGATGGAATTACATTTGAATCTCTTCATATATCATTAATGAAATCGGAACTCCATGTTAACAGAAAGGCCAACAATGACGCTACACAAGGCGATTTTGGTAGGTTTTTACTATTTATTTCTTTGTTTCACCAACAAATGAAATATCTTAACCATATTAACTATAAAGGAACCGAATCACTTCTACGCAAAGCCCCTGAGGTGAATAAACAACTGACAGATATGAATAAACAATCATGGCTCACGCATATCAATGATGTACTCAAATATATTTATATATTTACAATGGTACTGCAACAAATTATTCTAACTTCAAAACCAAGAGAATTGAAAAAATACAGGAAAATAGATACATACAATTTTGGGAAACTAAAATAAAATAAAATTATGGTAAATTGAGGTTTTATAAGAAAATAAATGCAAAATGGAATAAGGAACCCTACTTGGATTTAATCAAAAATGAAAGAGACATAATAAGAAATAATCTGACAAAGCTAAGAATTAGCGCACATAAATAAGAAATTGAAACAGTCGTTACACAAAACCAATTACCCTTATTGAAGAAATAAAATGTCTAATGTGAAACAAAAAAAACGGTACAGAATACCATTTACTATTTGAGTGCAATAAGCTCAAAAATGTTAACATCAGCTGTCTAGTCAGATCGACAAACAAAACAACTTTTTTGGGTCGTCGAGTTGGCTGAGAGGGCTTCAGCGCTAGCACATTCAAACTGGGCGAGAAGGTGCCGTAGCCACGAGGTTGCGAGTTCGAGAAGCATGTGCTCCTTGTGTTCATTCATTCAGTCAAGTAACATGGATAAAATAAAAAACAGTCAAAATTTAGAAAAAATTAACATCATGGAACATAAATTAATGTTCCTATTTAATTCAGAGGAGATAATATTAAATATATTCTCAAACTATATATATATTTTTTACAATTACAGTTTACAATATATTTCTTAATTCTAGTTCCTGTTGGAATAATATTTTTGTGTTTGTTTTTACCATACTTAAATTTACTTATACAGTTTTTTGCAATTAGGATTATAAATAAGATTTTTGCTCTTGTCTTTGACTCCAATTATAATGTCTCTTATAGAAAATTTTACTTCATTTGGCAAATAGACTGAACCAATTTCCAAATTGACTCAATTTATTTACATTTGATGAAGAAGTGTTCATCAACGCAAAGGAGGTTATTTTCACCTCTGTAGAGGTATTGATCTGTATAACTCTTATGTGCTTATTCTGTCTAATTGCACATGAATATATTCCTCAAATAAGTTTGTCAGAAACCCATTGTTTGCAGTTGCTGATGTTGTGTTATTATTAAATACTTCAATCCATTTAATTAGATTAGGCCCAAAATTAAATTCTTTCATCATAACTAAGATAATTTTTTTTGAGATCTAGACAAAAGCCCAAGAGTAATCAAGAGCGACAAGTTGAGATCTATGCCTCTACCTTTCATGTAAGCATTTTGATCAGCCTGAATTTATTTATTGATTACTTTTTGCAACCTTGTCTTAAGTCTGTTACGCGGCTGTTCTTTTCTTTTAAGAAGTAACACAATAAGGCCTTTTCTTTGGCTGCTTGATAATTGACCAATTTGATATGCAAAATTTAATAAATTAACAAGAAGGCGCTTAATTCTTGTCCCAGAAAAATTTATAAGATGCAGTTTTCATCTTCACTTAATTTTGGAGTGTTAACATCTTCAATAAATTCATGTAATGATGTAATAGATGAGAATAATCATGTACATTCAATTGAGTATTTTAGAATCCCAGTGCAAAATAATGCAGGGTTGCAGTTAGAGCATAACTTGATAAAAATGCAAAATTTTGAAATTTAATAACTGAATCATTAACAATCATCAAAGGCCAGGAATTTTGAAGCCTCTATAATAAAATTGAGATCAATGTCCAAATGTAATGCTAAAATGGAATAACAAGTACAAAAACCTACAATGGAAAAATATATGGGGACACACATGCAGTATAAAAAAAACAAAAATTCAAATCATTACAATATGATATTCAATTAGAAACATGGAAACTAACTAATGCCATGAAGTGTAAATATTGTGTAGCAGATGATACTTATGAACATTTTTTATCAATTGTCCCCAAATAAAAAAAAAGTTTTGGGATGATGTAAGAACAGTGTTAAAAAGAAAAAATATAAGCATTATACAGGGTGATCATTAAGTTCTGGGAATTGGTCTGCCATTTCAAGATTTCTCAACCGTTTGAGTTGAAATTTTCAGCAGGTGTACATTGTATAATTCTGAATTGACAAGCAATGTTTCATATACATATCACATCTACAATTTATTTTATTGTTATTACAAAAAAAGTAAAAGTGGTTCGCGGGTCAGCAAATTTTGACTGATGTTAATTTGAAAATTTCCTGCCAAAACATATTCATCTTGCCTAGATAGTTGCTTCAAACTACTTGTACTAGAGGCAGAACAGTACTCTTGAAGTCATTTATTCAGAAGTATTCTTCATTGCTGAGAGGACCATTTCATTTATGATTGTTTCCATTAGCCTGGACGCATATGCGTTGTTGACAAACTTAGTCCATAAAGATATGTTCCAGTCCTCCCTTTGGCATCCCTTGAAGATTTGCTCAAGCCGTTGAAATCAGTCCCTTATTGGAATCAAACTTATGACCTCTCATATGATGCTTTAGCACCCCAAAATGTAGTGAAGCCTAATGGTGCTTCATCTGGGGAATATTGCCTGATGAATATGGGGCAGTAATAACTTGTGTGAACCCCAATTCTTCAAGAGTAGTATGGGCAGCTTGAGTAATGGGAAGGAGCATAGTCATAATGGAAGATAACTTCCCGCTATTTTTTGTCATGATTGTTACTTTGAGATGCTGATGAATGATACAAAAATAGAGCAAAGTACACTCTTATATAACAATAAAGATGTTACTTTAGAAACTTAAGTTAGAAGTATTTGAAAATATAAACCAGAACAACGGCAACGCCAAAGCGTAGCGAATCCCATCGAACATTTTTCAAAACGGGCACCTTCTACCAAAAGTGTCATTAGACAGTGTGCCATGCTTATAATATTCACATACCAAATATGAACAAAATCGCTCTACTACTTTCCGAGTTATAGTAAAATACGTTAAAATGGCGGCCATTTTTCAAAATGGCCGCCTTCTACCAAAAGTCTCATTAGACAGTGTGCCATGCTTATAGTATTCACATACCAAATATGAACAAAATCACTCTACTACTTTTCGAGTTATAGTAAAATACGTTAAAATGGCGGCCATTTTTCAAAATGGCCGCCTTCTACCAAAAGTGTCATGAGACAGTGTGCCATGCTTATACGTATTCACATACCAAATATGAACAAAATCGCTCCACTACTTTTCGAGTTATAGTAAAATAAGTTTAAATGGCAGCCATTTTTCAAAAATCCGCCATTTTTCAAAATGGCTGCCTTTAAACAAAAGTGTCATTAGACAGTGTGCCATGCTTACAGTATTCACATACCGAATATGAACAAAATCGCTCCACTACTTTTCGAGTTATAGTAAAATACGTTAAAATGGCGGCCATTTTGAAAAATGACCGCCCTCTACCAAAAGTGTCATTAGACAGTGTGCCATGCTTATACGTATTCAAATACCAAATATGAACAAAATCGCTCCACTACTTTTCGAGTTTTAGTAAAATAAGTTAAAATGGCGGCCATTTTTCAAAATGTCCGCCATTTTTCAAAATGGCCACCTTCTACCAAAAGTGTCTTGAGACAGTGTGCCATGCTTATAGTATTCACATACCAAATATGAACAAAATCGCTCCAATACTTTTCGAGTTACAGCAAAAATCGTAAAATAACAAGTAAAGGCCGCCATTTTTCAAGATGGCTGCCATGTGCTTTTTAATATCTACATTTCTAGCTTTATTAATGTCCTATATAATTTTTTTACATTTAAAACATATTGCTATTACAGTTTTACATATTGCACCTAAATTACTGTAAAATCGGCACTAAAATGGCCGCCATTTTTAAATGAGCGGCCATTTTGAAAATCGGCTCTCGAGCAGAACTTCTACCCCCATAGGGTATATGTGTACAAAATATGAATAAAATCGGGCCAACGGTATTTGAGTTATTGCCCGGACGGACGGACGGACGGACGGACGGACGTACGGACGGACGGACGGACGGAGGCGTTCCCTATATCCCTCTGAACTTCGTTCGATGGGATAAAAATCACAGAAATATGTCCACCAAATAGGTATTTATTAACCATACTTTTGGATCAAGCAAAATTTGAATTCATTTTTATTTTACTTGACCCGCTACGCCATTTATCATGTTGCTATAGTAACAATAATTATCCATTGTGACATCAGATGACAATGAGACTGTTTTATCCAACCCAAAATTACATTCCCAATTTACCTTGAAAATTTCAAGTAAATTGATTGAAAAATAATGAAATGACAGATAAATTCCCAGAACTTAGTGATCACCCTGTATTCACTGATGTAGACATTATTTTATTTTAGAAAAACAAATCAAAATCTGTACAGGATTATGTAAATCAAGTCATACTTTTTGCATAAATTCAATTAATGGAGATCATCAAAATGAACTAGAAATGAGAAAATTATTGTACAAAATTGTGTATTTTGTTCTTTTTATTCTAATATTCTTGAAATCTGAGTTATAACTTTGTATTGTAAAATGTTTAAAGGAAATAATAAACAAGAACACAAATGTGTACAAAATGCCCCCACCTTTGGGTGATCCCGTCAAATGGTTATCCTAAAAATGAGTAGACAAGACTTTACCGACACAATTTGAGGAGGGAATATCCAAAATGGCCACCTTAAAATTTACCCAGAATGCCCAAAAATTAGTCAGTTCTAGATTTTCATACTGAGAGCCACCCCTGAAAATTTGAAATTGATCCCTCACACAGTTAACCAGAAAACATGTAAACAAGACTTTACAAACAAGATTTTAGGACGGAAAATCCAAAATGGCTGCCTTGACATTGATCCAGAATACCAAAAAACTAATCAGATCTAGATTTTCATACTAAGAATCATCCCTGAAAATTTGAAATTGATCTACCACACGGTTCACCTAAAAATGTGTAGACAAGACTTTACGGGCAAGATTTAAAGATGGAAAATCCAAAATGGCTGCCTTGACATTGATCCAGAATGCCAAAAAACTAATCAGATCTAGATTTTCATACTAAGAATCATCTCTGAAAATGTGAATGATCTACCAAACAGTTCACCTGGAAATGCGTAGACAAAACTTAACAGACAAGATTTTAGGACAGAAAATCCAAAATGGCTGCCTTGACATTTACCCAGAATGCCCAGAAACTAATCAGATCTAGATTTTCATACTAAGAATCATCTCTGAAAATTTGAAATTGATCTACCAAATGGTTCACCTAAAAACGCATAGACAAGACTTTACAGGCAAGATTTTCAGACAGAAAATCCAAAATGGCTGATTTGACATTTATCCAGAATGCTAAAAAACTAATCAGATCTAGATTTTCATACTAAGAATCATCCCTGAAAATCTGAAATTGATCTACCAAACAGTTCACCTGGAAATGTGTAGACAAGACTTTACAAACAAGATTTTAGGACAGAAAATCCCAAATGGCTGCCTTGACATTTACCCAGAATGCCCAAAAACTGATCAGATCTAGATTTTCATGCCAAGAATCATCCCTGAAAATTTGAAATTGATCTACAAAACAGTTCACCTGAAAACGCGTAGACAAGACTTTACAGACAAGATTTTAGGACGGAAAAATCCAAAATGGCCAACAATAAAAAAGTGATTATGGGTTTTTGCTGATTTCCTTTTACAAAATTATCACATATTACTACTGTTAACAATAACATAGGCTTTTACAACAAATTACACCTGAAATTATTTATAAAGCTACTAAATAGTTAAAGTATGAAAATTGAAAAACGCCATTCAATATGATACAAAGTATTATCGCGCGCTAACTTTTCTTAAAACATTCAAAATGGCTGACATGACTGAGCTAACAGGTCCAAAACCCAATCAGATGTAGAATGAAGTGAGCTGAACAAGATGTTAAAGTTTTAAAAGCAACTGTGAAGCCATTTTTCTTAAAGTTTGCAGACAAGGATTTTAGCATTTGACTTCAAAATGGCCGACAGGAAGTAGATATCCACTTAAATATTTTTCATCCACATCTAGATGCACTCATAAGTTATCCCTGAAAATTTGAAGGTGATATCTGTGGCGGTTTTAGAAAAAACTGCCGGACGTACGGACGGACGGACAGACGGACGGACAGACGGACGGACAGACGCGCCTAGGCCGAAAATATGGCCCAACACTATGTGGTGGGGACATAAAAAGAACACAATCTCTCCACTACTTTTCATGTATTTCTTAAATATTTACATTTCTAGCTTTATTAATCTTGTCCTATATAACTTTTTTACATTTAAAACAATGCTAATACAGTTTCAAACACAGTACCTAAATAACTGTAAAGTCGGCACTAAAATGGGCACCATTTCTAAATGAGTGGCCATTTTGAAAATCGGCTTTCGGCTGTTCTTTTACACAGATAGGGAGCATGTGTACAAAATATGAACAAAATCAGGCCAATGGTATTTGAGTTATCACCGAGACAGATGCACAGATAGACAGACAGATGCACGGATGTACGGATATATACCTCCAAACTTCGTTCCATGGGATAATTGAATTCATAAAACATTAATAGTTACTTTGTTTCTAATACAAAAAATACTGATACAAATACAAAGCTATCATTATTGATCTCCTTGATAGATAGAATTTTAGCATATTAAATTGACTTTCCAAAATGCTCAATTTCATGAGGTGAAGCCACTACTTAATTGCTTAAAAGTATTCACAAATCAATAAGCTAGTCGACTTCAATTTGACATTGTTCATTTTCCAAATTTGGACAAAAGTAATTCTATTGAACGTAGCATATGGGGTGCATGTACCCAGAGTTTTTCCTAGGTGAATATAACTCACAAGACTGATCAGCATTTCAACAAGTTCAGGCTAGGCATCATTGCTCAACTGAAGCAATGATTTCATACGATTCAAGAATTTATGTTTTGTACTTAAAAATATAGAATTTTTTATATAGTATAAGGGGCATTAGCAAATTGTTTTTTTTCTCTGTTAAACATCTGTCTTGTTAGTATTTGTTGCAATAAAGGCACTTGTTACAGTTTTGCACTCCTTCTAATAAATGACATCTATTTATCCTTTCAAGTATTTATTTTTCCATGCTGCAAATATTCTAGCAGGGGCACCAGTTCCTTCTCTTATCTTCATAGGCAAGACAAATATTTGGGTTCCATTTACTGGTATGCGGTCTATATTGGCGATCATTTCACCGCACCATATGTTCTCGGGTTGCAGGAGATTGTGAACTGGAAATGTAAGATCACTTCCGATGTCACAGTTGATTGTGTCAACTGCTATGCCAATTATATCACGTTCAAAAAGGAGCCATCTTGCCAGCTCTAGACTAAACCCTGGGGAGGCCATACCTTTGGAGTGATCTTCAGTGTCCACTAAACCCACAAACTTGTTGGAATCGGGCCAGTATTTAGACCAACCAGAATTCATTATGACAATAGCGCCTTTAGGAATTTGTCCATATTTATTTTCCCATGCTTCAGCGTCTGAGATATCTACAGTTGCCTCTTTACCTGGTGCTGTCTTTGCCACCTTTTCACGGATATCGAGGACAACACCAGGACCATGGAGGTTGGCAGAGGGAATCTGGTCCAGTTTCCAGGCAAATTCAGCAAAGTGATATGGAGCATCTATGTGTGTACTCATGTGTTCTGCAGTGTCCACCTGATGTGTTGCAACACTGAAAATAAAATGATCTAAGTTAATGTTTTTTTTACTATTCATTTTGTTCAACATCACAAAACTTACAATAGTTTTATTTTGTCACTTGTATGTTACTTTGTGTTTTTTACAAGAAGTTATACAGCAGGCATTTCATCAAATAATTAAATTGGCTTCAAAATATCAAATTCACTGTACCAATGATATGTGTGAGATATACTATTCAAAATTCGATTTTATCTGATTTTGTGGTTTAAAAGGTCAAGATACAAAAGTATGTCAGATTGTAAAAGTAAGCCTGGTTACAAATATATCAAGTATTATATCAAGACTGGCCATAGGAAAAATGAACAGAGGGGAGAGCAACAGAGTTCTGCTAAAAATTCAACATATCTGCAAGATTTTTTTTTCACAAGAAAGTACAAATAAATAGCTGAATGAATAGGTGCACGACATAGTAAAATCTGTGAGGTATTTTGTGATTTTTTTTCTTAACTGATACACTTTTAAGGTGTGAGATCTATTTGAAAAGGCACAAAATTACCGAGTGCAAAAATATTTTGTTATCAATCAAGCAGTGGAGGTCCACATGTTGTTACTCTTTTTTAAATTACTTTCAAAACTTTGTAAAAAAAAATTATGCAGTGAAATGAGGGGGTAGAATAAATTCATTGAGAGGGGGAGTATTTCTAAATAGCTAACTTCCCCTCTGTTCAGTTAATATTCCAATTATATTTTAATAACATTTTGTAACTCACTTTTAAAAAGCAGCAATTTTGAATAACAGCAAATTTTGATTAAAATCCCCACTTTTGAAATTGTTGAAAAACATTTTTCTAATAGTATGCACATTTCAGCTACATTGAATTCTATAATTGTTAAATTTTAAAGTAATACTTTATAGTATGATCAACAAAGCATTGAAGTTACACCCCAAAATTGGAATTCTGACCCAAAATGGCAGGGAATTTGCACTATATAAGATAATTCACCTTGAGTCTTTGAGTCTTATGCTTATTTAAAAATGCATCCAGTGCAATGGAAATAATCATTTAAATGTACCATTATAAAAACTATACATCAAATCACTTACAATTTATTTGTCCCTAGTGGTCCTTTTAAGATTTCTGTCAGATTGAACCCACGATGCACTGGATGTTTTGGCAGCCCTTCGAAAAGCTTGTAGGACATATCAACATATCTGCAGTTGTGTCCAGAAAGGACACCAATGACAATCCAAATGGTGGCAAGTATATGGAAAGACATATCTTCAGAGCACAGATCCGAGTTAATTTTAAATAACATTTCTTTCTTTTATATGAAGTTAAGATATATAATTAATGAAATATGACAAAATGTCACGACTGTTACTGCCAATGGTTAAAAGGGTGCAGTGATTTGTTACAAACACCAATCAATGACCTTCAATTACAAAAAGGAGGTACTAACATAGTAACTAACTGTAATAAGTGTCAGATAACACTGGTCTCAAGTCTCAACGATAGATGTATTGGCAAAGATGGTGTCATTCTTGCATATATTTACATATAAAATGTCAACAAAATTGCTCTACTACTTTAACAATATATAAGCACAAATGCCAAAAGGGAAGGGTGACTGAAAAAATTAAAAGAAACACAACAAGAAAAGCAAACAGTAAGTGTAAATCTGTCATAAGAAAAGTAGACCATATATATATCCCAAAACCATGATCTAACGTGAAAAGAAACAATGTCTATCATCCCCCTCCCCCTCCCCCTCCAATCAAGAACCAATATCACAATCCAAGACCACAACACCAAGGGACATTTCATTCATACTGAAGTCATTACAATAAATGTTGAAGAAAAATTGAAAAATTCATAGCCAATACTCATAACATCAAAAATAGTTGTAGATACTAGAACTCATAAAAGATAGAGTATTCAGTCTTAAATGATGTGGGATAGATAAAATCCTGTCTCGAAGTCCATAGGCAATTCAAAGGGTCAACATCCGTTTGCAAAGCCGTCATCATAATCTCTAATAACAGTTAGATTAAAATATCAAAAAAATTGCTCTACTACTTTAACATTTAGATAAAAGCCTATCACTTATTAGGCTATATACTATTATAACATGCTGCCTCGACAACAAAGGATTACTGAATGGCTAACACATGAGGGGACTCTACGTCATTAGACATGTGATCATAGATAGGAATTTCCATGGTGTTTCCCAACTTTATTAACTGGAATTAATATATCAATTCCAAAACAATTACGTTGATACACAAATAAAAACAAGAATGAGTTTTGTTTGGCGATATTACATAATGTTACATAATATATTTCTAAGTACTAATTGAAATAATGCGGACATATATTATTTTTACATTTTCAAACAACTAACAAGATTATTAATGCTTTAATATCAAATTGACCTGGTTATAACTGTGTTTTAACTGTGCAATATCAAAGCACAAGCATATATCCCCCTTTGAACCAACTCTACATTTCTTCTTGAGCAAAGTTCATTTGTCCCTAGGCATCAGCATATAAAATTGGGAACCAAATCCGTCATGAAGTATTTGAATTATCATAGATTACATTGGCCATTTTGAATTGAGTTGCAACATTGAAAATTCCTTCCCGAGAAGAGGTCCTACACTTATAAGGCATACGCCTATAAAATTTAAACCAAATCTGTCAACCAGTTTTTGAGGACCGGACACATAAACAGATGGTCGGACAAACAGATTAACAGCTTCTCTGCCTACTTGCCTGTGTCATTAGACAGTGTGCCATGCTTCTTTCTTTTACTTTTGCTTCTAGTTTTTGAATATCTACATTCAAATTATATTCATTTACAAATGAAAAAGTTGGTCCCAAGGTGAAAATATTACTATAAAAAATCAAATGTCAAATGGTACATTTTATAAATATAACAAAATGCAGCAAACTGGAAAGTATATTAAAATCATACGACTTTTACAATCACGCAGACGTATAAGTACAGGCGTGTACGTTCTCCAAATAAATGACTTGAGCTTTTTCCATTGATGGTCAGTGGTAACATTATTATCAACATGGATAAACTGCATCTGGAGGCATCATTTCGTACAGTGCAATCGTGATCAGTGCTTGTAGCGGTGATCAAAATTTCGTCACTTTTTGATCACAGTGATGGTAAAATGCATCTTTAACTTTTTTCTAAAATAAGCTAGAAAACAGCAAGGCCAAAGCATAGCAAATCCCAATGAACAGCCATGACTGCAATTTTTCAAAATGGACAATCAGTAGTCAAATCCTTTACTTTTCCAGGTATAGCAAAAAAATAACACACGTAAAAACACTAAAAGGCCACTCACTTGCCAAATTGCTTCTAAGTGGTTGCATATAAAATTTCAACAAAATCGCTCATCTACTTTTTGAGAAATAGTAAAAACTTAAAATAACACATTTAAATGGTGGGCATATCAAATATCTTGTCAATAATAATGAGAGCAGCAAAAGGCACTTGTGTTATTTTATCAATCCTTTCCCTTCACATGTTTATAATTATTAAGTTTCTTAATTCTTTCTGTTCACTTATTTGTTCTGCTTCCATGCTGCAAATATTCTGGAAGGGGCATCAGTTCCTTCTCTTATCTTCATAGGCAAGACAAACATCTGGGTTCCATTCACTGGTATGCGGTCTATATTGGTGATCATTATGCCGATTATATTACATTCAAAGAGGAGCCATCTTGCCAGCTCTGGACTAAACCCTGGGGAGGCCATACCTTTGGAGTGATCTTCAGTGTCGACTAAACCCACAAACCTGTTTGTATCAGGCCAATATTTAGACCAACCAGAATTCATTATGACAATGGCACCTTTAGGAATTTGTCCATATTTATTTTCCCATGCTTCAGCATCTGATATATCTACAGTTGCCTCTTCCCCCGGTGCTGATTTTTTCACCTTTTCACGGATGTCAAGGACAACACCAGGACCATGTAGGTTGGCAAAGGGAATCTGGCCCAGTTTCCAGCCAAATTCAGCAAATATGGAGCATCTATGTGCGTACTCATGTGCTCAGCAGTGATCACCTTATTCAAGGCAAGACTAAAAATAAATATATCTTAGTTTAAGTATTTTTTCACAAATGATTACTGAGATGCTCACTGGAACCCAACATGCCAAAAAACCTATTCAGCAGCACATATCGACTACTATATGGCACTTTTTAGTTTAAAGTTTAGGTACTATGACAGAGTCTATGTTTCATGGCACAATATATGACAGATGATTTTTCTGATCCTTAGGGTCTTTGGCAATGAGCTGAATAAAATCGAAGGTAATATATTTGCCAGAAATAAAAGAATCAGTGTCTTTGCAATCATGCTAATATGATAGACAACATATTCAAGAAGGTAATGAACTATATGTCAACTTCAGTAAAACTTAATTTCTTGCTTTTAGCGCGAGTTTGGGAATTTTCCGAATGACCCCCTTTTTTGAGGAATAACATTGCAATTGTAAAAATGCAAATTTCTGAGAGGACAGGTTCTAGCTATTATGACATTACATAGTACTCAATATAAGATACATGAAATCACTTACAATTTATTTGTCAAGTATGGTCCTTTACGCATTTGCGTCAGAGTGAAGTTAGGATGCACTGGGTGTTTTGGTAGACCTTCAAAAAGCTTGTGTGACATATCAACATATCTGCAGTTGTGTCCAGAAAGAAAACGCAACGACAATCCAAATGGTGGCATAAATATAAAAAGACATCTTCTCAGTGCAAATATCCATGTTGTTTTAAATTGGAAAAGTGTTCTTTTCTACATGGTAGAATGAATACAAACATAAAATAAACAACAGTCACGCAAAGGCGTAGCAAATACCATCAAACAGCCATGGCTGGCATTTTTACAAACAAAATACTCGTATAAAGCAAAAAGTATCATTAGACAGTGTGCCATGCTTATAGTATTCACATACTATATATGAATAAAATCGCTCAACTAGTTTTCGAGTAAACGTAAAATACGTTAAAATGGCAGCCATTTTTCAAAATGGCCACCTTCTACCAAAAGTGTCATTAGACAGTGTACCATGCTAATAGTATTCACATACCAAATATGAAAAAATCGCTCCACTACTTTTTCGAGTAATAGTAAAATACATTAATATGGCAGCCATTTTGAAAAAAGGCCGCCTTCTACCAAATGTGACATTAGATAGTCTGGCATGCTTATAGTATCCACATACCAAATATGAACAAAATCACTCCATTTCTTCTCAAGTTATAGTAAAATGCCTAAAAATAGCGGCCATTTTTCAAAATGGCCACCTTCTACCAAAAGTGTCATTAGACAGTGGGCCATGCTTATAGTATTCACATACCAATTATGAACAAAATCGCTCCACTACTTTTCGAGTTACAACAAAAATCATAAGATTTTAAAGGCCGCCATTTTTCAAGATGGCTGCCATATGCTTCTTTAATATCTATATTTCTAGCTTCATTTATGTCCTATACAATTTGCCGCCATCTACCAAAAGTGTCATTAGATATTGTGCCATGCTTAATGCTTATAGTATTCACATACCAAATATGAACAAAATCGATCCACTACTTTTCGAGTTATAGTAAAATGTGTTAAAATGGTGGCCATTTTTCAAAATGACCGCCTTCTACCAAAAGGGTCATTAGACAGTGGGCCATGCTTATAGTATTCACATACCAAATATGAACAAAATTGCTCTCCTACTTTTCGAGTTATAGCAAAAATCGTAAAATAGCAAGTAAAGGCTGCCATGTGCTCCTTTAATATCTACATTTCCAACTTTATTAATGTCCTATATAATTTTTCTACATTTAAAACATATTGCTATTACAATTTTACATATTGTACCTAAACTACTGTAAAATCAGCACTAAAATGGTGGCCATTTTGAAAATCAGCTTTCTAGCACAACTTCTACCCCCATAGGGTATATGTGTACAAAATATGAACAAAATCGGGCTAATCGTAATTGAGTTATTGCCCAGATGGACATACATACGGACGGACAGACAGACGGATGCGTTCCCTATATCCCTCTGAACCTTTTTCAATGGCATAATAAAATATGACAAGATGTCATAACCTGACAAGTTATTGCTAAAGGTTACAAAAGTGGAAAATTTTGTTACAAACACTAAAAACCCGATAAAAGGTAACAAAAAGTTAGTAACATAATGTCATCACCTCTGTTTCAGATCCAGAAATTAAATGTATGATGGTTATATTTGGTAATCTGAACCTGATTTAATTGTACTTCAAAGAATATCACCACATAGCTTCAAAGCAACTATCTACCATTATACCAAAGAACTTGAATGGTTGATGAGGAGATTATCATACTGTTTCTTTTCACATTAGATCATGGTTTAGGATAGATGGGGTTTGTTTTCCTTATGACTAGTATACTCTTGGATGTTTTCTTTTTCTTGCTGTGATCTGTTGAGATTTTTGGTATTTTGCCCTTGAAAGTTGTGCATACATATTGGCATTCGAAAACAAAAATTGGCCGGAAAATTCTGGCCAATCAGATCAAGGCAGAGGATATTTATCAATATTTTAAAACAGATGAATGGTTATTTAGCCTTGACCTACAAGAAATAATGATTACTGTATAGTAAATATATAAGCACGAGTGCCAAAGGGAAAGGACCAAAAGTTGTAATGGAACTTAGCAAGAAAAAGAAAATTTTAAGTGCATACCAGTCAAGAAAAACAAACCCCATATATCCCAAAAAAATGATCTAATGTGAAAAGAAACAATGTCTAATACCCCCTTTCCCCCCATCATTCAAAAACCAATATCACAATCCAAGACCAGAACACCAAGGGACATTTCATTCACACTGAAGTCATAACAATAAATGTTGAAGAAAAAATTAGAAATTGATAACCAATACTCATAACATCAAAAATAGTTGTAGATACAAGTACTCATGCAAGATAGAGCATTCAGTCTCAAATGATGTGGGATTGATAAAATCAAACCATCCATTTGCACTTCATTTCCTCAGTAACACATCACGAAAATTAAATGCATGTGAAAAACATATGCTTTATTGTAGAACAAATGTCCTGTCATGAACTACTCGCAAAAGTGAAAGTTCAAAGCTACTTAGAAAGTAAAACAAGTTTCTATCCCCCTGCAAATTATAATGATTTGTACTGATTTTGAGACAATACATACCATTTTATTCCATAATGTTGCGTATCATATCTTTGTTTAAGAATTTCAGCAAACATATTGTTAGCAACTGATAAATGAATCAATGTAGCTGGTAGTTTCTTAATTGCTTTGACCTACTTTATGAAACAAGCCATTGCACATGTGTGGTGCATCCCATGATTTCTTGTTATTGTTGCGCGAGTTGATGCACAGTAGACCAAAGTCAGCTGAGCAATTAATGAATGTAGAATACGGTAAAATGTATGAGTAACATAAAGTATAAGGCAAATTCAAATTCCTAGTCTTGTACCTTACTGTTACGGTGTTATACCATATACTACATTCAGAGTTTGTTTAGGTTTAACTACGAAGATCATGGTCAAGCTCACTGTCTAGGATGTTGTTACAGACATTCACACATAAAAATATCTAGAAATTAGACCAGATCTTTCTGAAACAATGGAAACATTAGTTTGCTAAAATTACATCACCCTAGTGTTGTACCTTACCCCACAGGTTCAACTGTCTCACTTAATGTACCCTGTGTCATAGCTAAGCCTGTATAATATAATTCTTTGTGACTAAGTTGTATTGGAAATTCTTTAAAAGCTGACTTTAACAAACTCTTATATCTATATAGCTATTATATAGTATACAAATATTTTTGGAATCTTTTTAATCATTACGCTAAGCAAAAGCAAATTATGTCTGTCTCATCATTTTGTCAATATTGATTGCAGTAAAAGGTACTTGAGTTACTTTTTGTAATCCTTTTCTTTCGTATCTTTATTATTCTCAAGTTCATCAGTCTTTCTGTTCATTTATTTGTTCTGCTTCCATGCTGCAAATATTCTGGAAGGGGCACCAGTTCCTTCTCGTATCTTCATAGGCAAGACAAATATCTGGGTTCCATTTACTGGTATGCGGTCTATATTGGTGATCATTTCAACGCACCATATGTTCTCAGGTTGCAGGATATTGTGAACTGGAAATGTATCGTCACTTCCAATGTCACAGTTGATTGTGTCAACTGCTATGCCGATTATATTACGTTCAAAAAGGAGCCATCTTGCCAGCTCTGGACTAAACCCTGGGGAGGCCATACCCTTGGAGTGATCTTCAGTGTCGACTAAACCCACAAACCTGTTTGTATCAGGCCAATATTTAGACCAACCAGAATTCATTATGACAATAGCACCTTTAGGAATTTGTCCATATTTATTTTCCCATGCTTTAGCATCTGAGATATCTACAGTTGCTTCTTCCCCTGGTGCTGATTTTTTCACCTTTTCACGGATGTCAAGGACAACACCAGGACCATGGAGGTTGGCAAAGGGAATCTGGTCCAGTTTCCAGGCAAATTCAGCAAAGTGATATGGAGCATCTAAGTGTGTACTCATGTGCTCAGCAGTGATCACCTTATTCAATGCAAGACTAAAAATAAATATATCGTAGTTTAAGTATATTTTCACTAATGATTACTGAGATGCTCACTGGAACCCAACATGCCAAAAAACTTATTCAGCAGCACATATTGACTACTATATAATAATATATACTATATAATAAAATCTAAGGTCATATATTTGCCATACATAAAATAATCCGTGTCTTTGCAATCATGCTAATATGATAGACAACATATTCAAGAAGGTTATGAACTATATGTCAACTTCAGTAAAACTTTAATTTTTTTGCTTTTAGCGCGAGTTTGGGAATTTTCCGAATGACCCCCTTTTTTGAGGAATCACATTGCAATTGTAAAAACGCAAATTTCTGAGAGGACAGGTTCTAGCTATTATGACATTACATAGTACTCAATATAAGATACATGAAATCACTTACAATTTATTTGTCAAGTATGGTCCTTTACGCATTTGCGTCAGAGTAAAGTTAGGATGCACTGGGTGTTTTGGTAGACCTTCAAAAAGCTTGTGTGACATATCAACATATCTGCAGTTGTGTCCAGAAAGAACACCAACGACAATCCAAATGGTGGCATAAATATAAAAAGACATCTTTTCAGCACAAATATCTATGTTGTTTTAAATTGGAAAAGTGTTCTTTTCTACATGGTAGAATGAATACAAACATTAATTAAATATAACAAAATGTTACAACATGAATTATTGCTAAGGGTAACAAAGGTGCAACATTTGTTACAAACACCAAACACTTATCTACAGTAAAAAAAAGATTTTTGAAGGACTATTTGTTAAAAAAAAATCATGAATTTATTTACAACTATCCATAATTCACACAAATAAAAAGCAAGTATGCTCATGTTTTTGTCAAACAAATTGAGAAAATTGGTTGATAAATAAGCAAGGAAAAAGTTCACAACGGCCCTCCAACACCACGATCGATCAATCTGATTCGTGCATAAATATTTTCTTCTGGTTAACTTAGCAGATCAAAATTATCGTAGCAAACGATGTATAAGCTAAACAGGATGCACTGCAGAATGATTTCTGTAGGACCGTCACTACAAAATGATCATACTAAGCTTGCCATAACCTCTTGCTCTGCAAAGCCGTGAGAAATCAACTTGTTCATGGTAAATGAAGATAATTAACGCTTGTACAAATGATAACCATGTTAAATTCTTCTTTAATATTTTGATTTTGCACTTGAATTGGCTGGAGCATTCAAATAACCATGACTATTCTATGCCTACTGACTGCAGCATTCTGGTGTTATTAAGGGGATTCCCCTTCAACACAAACCATCATCTTGAAAAATTAACGATGAAAAACAGAAATGTCATTGTTCTGCGGATAAACCCATATGATCGGAGGTTCAACTACGTTAAAAGAATCCTAAAATACTCAGAAACCTATTAAGGTACGCTGTTGATGTAAAACCCATGCCAAAAATTTTCAACTTTTGAAAATGATAGGGCCATACCAAGGTTCTTCTTGTACCTACAACGTTCCATAATTAATGTACCAGAACTTTAAACTGGCCACGTATATGTGACGTTGCATAAGCACATTACAGTCTCGTTATTTTTGCGAAGTCGTTAAGGTTGGTTCTACATTCCTGGCACGTGATATTTATGTCAAATGTAATGTTCTTCAGACATCTGTGCGAGTCCACACCTTCCTGTACCTACAACGTTCCATATTAACGTTACCAGAACTTTAGATTGGCCACATATATATTACGTATTGTTAGTATGTTACAGTCTCATTATTTTGGCCATGTAGTTGTTAAGGTCGCTGCTACGTTACTGGCACATGGAATTTAAGTCAAATGTAACATTCTTTAAACATCTGTGCGAGTCCACACCTTCCTGTACTTACAAAGTTCCATATTAACGTTGCTACAACTTGAGACATATATTCTAACGACGTTATCACAACGTAAATTTGTTAGCTGGGCTTCTGCCAAAATTGTCATTAGACAGTGGGTCATGCTTATACTATTCACATACGCAATATGAACAAAATTGCTCTACTACTTTTTGAGTTACAGCAAAAATCGTAAAATAGCGAGTAAAGGCCGCCATTTTTCAAGATGGGTGCCATGTGCTTCTTTAATATCTACATTTCTAGCTTTATTAATGTCCTATATAATTTGTGGCCTTCTACCAAAAGTGTCATTAGATAGTGTGCCATGCTTAGTGCTTAGAGTATTCACATACCAATATGAACAAAATCGCTCCACTTCTTTTCCAGTTATAGTAAAATGCGTTGAAATGATGGCCATTTTTCAAAATGGCCGCCTTCTACCAAAAGTGTCATTAGACAGTGGGCCATGCTTATAGTATTCACACACCAAATATGAACAAAATAGCAAAAATCGTAAAACAGCTAGCTAGTAAAGGCCACCATTTTTCAAGATTGCTGCCATGTGCTTCTTTAATATCTACATTTCTAACTTTATTAACCTCTTGAATCTTAGGCTCTAAAATTGGCATGAAACCAGAGAATTTTTCATTTTTTGCCACCTTTTGACATTTTATTACATACCTACACAACTTTAGATGCTCGGCTTAGTAAAATTGGACGGCAGAGATCATTTCTACACGTTTTAAAACAATTTTTGTGTAAATTGGATGAAAATTGTTCAAATGAGAGCAATTTTTGTGAAAAATTTTGTGACGGATTTTCTCGTCCCTCTGGGCACCAGTCTTATTTCATTTGTGACGGATATATCCGTCACTCTGGGTATTCAAGACGTTAATGTCCTATATAAAACATATTGCACTAAAATGGCTGCCATTTTTAGATAAGCCGCCATTTTGAAAATCGGCTTTTAAGCAGAACTTCCACCCCCATAGGGTATATGTGTACAAAATATGAACAAAATCAGGCCAACAGTATTTGAGTTATTGCCTGGACGGACAGACAGACGGATGGACGGTTGGAGCCGTTCCCTATATCCCTCCAAACTTTGTTCAATGGGATAATGAAATATGACAAAATGTCATAACCTGACAAATTATTGCTAAAGGTTACAAAGGTGGAAAATTTTGATACAAACACCAAACACTAATAACCTGGTAACCGGTAACAAAAATTTAGTAACATAATGTCATCACCTCTGTTTCAGGTCCAGAAATTAAATGTTTGATGGTTATATTTGGTAATTGGAATCTTATTTAATTGTGCTTAGAAGAATATCACCACATAGCTTCGAAGCATTACTGTACTACCATTAAACCAAAGAACTTGAATGGTAGATGAGGAGGTTATCATACTGTTTATTTTCACATTAGATCATGGTTTAGGATAGATGGGGTTTGTTTTCCTTATGACTGGTATACTCCTGGATGTTTTATTTTTCTTGCTGTGATCTGTTGAAATTTTTGGTCTTTTGCCCTTGGAAGTTGTGCATACATATTGGCATTCTAAAAAAAAATTGGCAAGAAAATTCTCGCCAATCAAATCAAGGCAGGGGATATTTATTCATATTTTAAGACAGTGGAATGGTTATTTAGCCTTGAGCTCCAGGAAAAGATGATTACTGTATAGTAAAACACTTAAAATCCATGTGCACTTTATTTCCTCATTTTCGCAAGTTACACGTCATGAAAATTAAATGCATGTGAAAGACATACGCTTTATTGTAGTACAAATGTCCCGTCATGAAGTACTCCCAAAAGTGAAGGTTCAAAGCTACTAAGAAGTAAAACAAGTTTCTATTCCCCTGCAAATTATAATGATTTGTACTGATTTTGAGACACCTACCATTTTATTCCATCATGTTGCGAATCATATCTTCTTATAAGAATGTTTCAGCAAACAAATCGATAGCAAATGATAAATAAATGAATCAACGTAGCTGGTAGTTTCTTAATTGCTTTGACCTACTTTATGAAACAAGCCAATGCACATGTGTGTTGCATCCCATGATTTTTTGTTATTGTTGCGCAGAGTCGATGCGCAGTAGCCCAAAGTCAGCTGAGCAATTAATGAATGTAGAATATGGTAAAATGTGTGAGTAATATAAGGTATAAGGCAAATTCAAATTCCTTGTCTTGTACCTTACCCTTACAGTGTGTTATACCATATGCTACATTCGGAGTTTGTTCAGGTTTAACTTTGAAATTCATGGTCAAGTTCACTGTCTAGTACACAACATTCACACATAAAAATATCTAGAAATTAGATCAGATCTTTCTGAAACAATTGAAACATTGGTTTCCTCAAATTGCATCACCCTCATGTTGTACCTTAGCCCGCAGGTTCAACTGTCTCACTTAATGCAAGTATAAACGTATCTTGGTATCTTTTTAATCATTAAGCTAAGCATAAGCAAATTATGTCTGTCTCATCATTTTGTCAATATTGATTGCAGTTAAAGGTACTTGGTTACTTTTTGTAATCCTTTTCTTTCGTATCTTTATCATTCTCAAGTTCATCAGTCTTTCTGTTCATTTATTTGTTTTGCTTCCATGCTGCAAATATTCTGGCAGGACCGGCAGTTCCTTCTCTTATCTTCATAGGCAAGACAAATATCTGGGTTCCATTTACTGGTATGCGGTCTATATTGGTGATCATTTCAGCGCACCATATGTTCTCAGGTAACAGAGTATTGTGTACTGGAGATGATTTATCACTTCCTTTGTCACAGTTGATTGTGTCAACTGCTATGCCGATTATATCACGTTCAACAAGGAGCCATCTTGCCAGCTCTGAACTAAACCCTGGGGAGGCCATACCTTTGGAGTGATCTTCTGGGTCAACGAAACCCAAGACCTTGTTTGAATCAGGCCAATATTTAGACCAACCAGAATTCATTATGACAATAGCGCCTTTTTGAATCCGTCCATATTTATTTTCCCATGCTTCAGCATCTGAGATATCTACAGTTGCTTCTTCCCCTGGTGTTGATTTTCTCACCTTTTCACGGATATCGAGGACAACGCCAGGACCATGTAGGTTGGCAAAGGGAATCTGGTCCAGTTTCCAGGCAAATTCAGCAAAGTGATATGGAGCATCTAAGTGTGTACTCATGTGTTCTGCAGTGCTCACATGATTTGTTGCAAGACTAGAAATAAATTCATTTTAGTTAATGTTGTTTTCACTAATGATTACTGATATGCCCACTCAGGAACCAAACATAGCAAACTACCCATCCAGCAGCACATATTGTAAATTACTATGTGGCACTTTTTAGTTCATAGTTAAGGTACAATGACAGATATTCTATTACAATGATTTATGTGATATGCGAATGACAGATGATTTTTCCTATCATGGTTAAAAGACTGAAATCGAGTGATTGAGGCAGAAAAACATCTTAGTAGGTCATTTATAGTATTCACAATAAATCATAGAATCAATGTTGTTATTATTCTAATACGATAAACAGACAATGTATGTCCCATGAAGGACCAGTAAATTGTTCTAGTTATTGTGACATCACATATAATATAAGAATATTAGAACATAAAATAACTTACAATTTATTTTTGCCAAATGGTCCTTTTATAATTTGCGTCAGATTGAACCCAGGATGAATTGGAGCCTTTGGCAGCCCTTCGAAAAGCTTGTGTGACATATCAACATATCTGCAGTTGTGTCCAGAAAGAACACCCATGACAATCCAAATGGTAGCATAAATATAAAAAGTCATCTTCCCAGCGCAAATATCTGTGTTGTTTTAAATTAGAAAAGTGTTCTTTTCTACATGGTAGAATGAATACAACCATAAAATATAACAAAACGTTACAACATGAATTATTGCTTTGGTTTTTGAAGGACTTTTTGTTCAAAAATCATGAATTTATTTACAACTATCCATAATTCACACAAATGAAAAGCAAGTATGCTCATGTTTTTGTCAAACAAATTGAGAAAATTGGTTGATAAATAAGCAAGAAAAAACTCCTCCATACAGGTTCAGAGAAAATGCATTTTTAAATGTAAAAGTTTACCTCCAACAGTGTAACACCACGATCAATCAATCTGATTTGTGCATAATATTTTCTTCTGGTTAACTTAGCAAATCCAAATTATCATAGCAAACGATATATAGACCAAACAGGATGTGCTGCAGAATCATTTCCTTAGGACCGTCACTACAAAATGATCATAGTAAGCTTGCAATAACCTCTTGCTCTGCAAAGCCTTGAGAAATCAACTTGTTCATGGTAAATGAAGATAATTAACGCTTATACAAATGATAACCATGTTAAATTCTACTTTAATATTTTGATTGGCACTTGAATTGGCTGGAGCATTCAAATAACCATGACTATTCTATGCCTACTGACTGCAGCTGTCTTGTGTTATTAAGGGGATTCCCCTTCCAAACACAAACCACCATCTTGAAAAATTCACAATGAAAAACGAAAAAGGACGATTCTCGGTTTGGAGAACGAAGTTCATCAATCTAAATGAGCACTATCCCTGCTTCGGACAAATTTGATTTTTTTACATAATATAGATTTGAATGTCTTCTTTTGAATAGTCATAATTTAATTTGGGTAATATTTCTAGATTTTTCGCAAAAAAATATTAGCGCAGTACACTGATGAACTTTTTTCCCCAAATCGAGACTTGTATTTTATTGAATCGATCTAATTGAGCGTTATCCCTGCTTCAGACCAACTTGTTATTTTTACATCTTGTAGATTTAAATGTCTTCTTTTGAATATTCATAGTTTAATTTGGGTAATATTTCTATATTTTTCATGAAAAAATGATTAGCCCAGGAGACTGTTCTCCAAACCGAGAATCGTCCTTTCATTGTTCTGCGGATAAACCCATATGATTGGAGGTTCAACTACATTAAAAGAATCCTAAAATAAAAGAAACCTATTGAGGCACGCTGTTGATGTAAAACCCATGACAATAGAATTCTTAAAACTATAGGAGCCCCCTCCCCTGACAGAGGCCTCCTAATAATATTGACAAAGAAGGCATGGCCTCCTAATAATAACTACAGTTCCCAAATGGATGAGATTAATTAAGTAGACATGAGTTAAAATGATAAATTAATTGAGTAGACATTGTGGACAGCCCTCTGACGTCAATCTCTCTGGTATGCAATTTTCGGGAATTTTTGGTGAAAGTTATTAATTTCCCAACCCAAGTAACTATAAGCAAGTGGTAAAGTTCAAACATGTTTTATTCAGAATTTTGTCAATTATTCAAGGCTTGAACATTAGAGAAATAGTTTATGTCACATAATTCAAACAGGCAAATGCCAAGGTTAAGAAGGATTTAGTGCACTCTCCATTATGATTTCCCCATGAACATAATGAATCATTTTTAGTTGGAACATGAAGAATAAAATGTCACATTAATACACATTTTGTGAAAAAATGATAATTTCTTTCAAAAATTTGTCGTGCTTTCTAGAAAGTTTGAGAAGTTCTAGACCGTGTTCAGACGACATGTTGAGACGCAGTGATACAAGAGGTATATCTGCATGGTATGGTCAATGTTTCTACGAAAGGGAAAGAACCATATTCTGTCAAAACGTCGAAATAAATGAGTACTTACAAATCTCCAGCTGGAAAAACTTGTATAACGTCGCAAACTTCTGTTGTTACAACGTATAAGAGAATGGGGTGTGTTAGCAGATTTTTTGTTGTTGTTGTAAAAACATTAATGTTTTGTTTCAGACATTGATGCATCGCCAGAATCACTTTTGGCAATGAATATTGCAATGTTTCGATTAACACAACACTACTTGTGACATCTCACAGGCCAAAAAATGTCAACAAAAGCCTAATCAATAAAATGACTAACTTGTCATAGGTACCTAAGCAGATCTCATGAAACCATGGGTTTGCTCCAGCAGAGTATCATAACTACGACGAAGGGCAACATATACAAGTGAACCCATTGGTATAATCAGCTCAATGTTGATCACTAAAAACACTCACAGTATGAAGATATACCTGCGCATTGTTCATAATAAATTATAGATAGACATGTGCATGATAGACATATGAATGGTTGCAATATATCCCTTAAAAAGTAATAGTTTCATGGGATAAAAATCATTGAATATGAAAGAAAATGTATAGTAATGCAGGTCTACTATTTGCATAGTCAGATCATCCATGATATACCATGCATGTTTTGACTAAATGTGATGTAAACATTAAAAGTACTGAAATTATGAAATACAACATAACTTAGGTATTGTGTTTGTATAGTCAGATCATCAATGATATATCATGCATGTTATTGACTATCTATGATGTAAATACTTAAACCACTGAACGGTTAAAACAACATAACTTAGGTCATCTATGAAATATCTGTGATAAGTACTGAATATGAACAACAGCATCATTTCTTTTTGCATAGTCAGATCATCCATGATATATCATGCATGTTCTTGACTATTTACGATGTAAACACTATAATAAAAAAAAACTGAGTACAAATGGAAGAATTGATATGATTTATAGATGTCAGTAGCTATCGTACAGTACCTTATTACCTTATTAGGTATGATAAAAAAGTGAGACATCTAAGTCTCGGATGTGATCAATTTTAAAAACAACAATTTCTCCTACTATTTTCACATATAATTTCAATCCTATGAGTATACTCTAGTACCACTCAGTTTACTTTCAGATACAGATATGTGCAAAAACTTACAAAAAGTATGTACCGTATAATAAATTTGCACAGAGGCGTGTAATAATACAAAGACACACACGCATGCTATAATCACCTTGAAGTAAAGGTATACAGTAATTTTGATAAGCAATTTATAATTCACAAGTTTTGCAGACTCTTAGGTAAAAGTTAACTTACATGGTTTGACGAGCTGTATAATTGAGGGTCTGGCTTGTATTGCAGGTTTGGTCTCTGGTGCCAATAGAGGGGAATTGAACCTCTAGTCTGGAACAAAAATGTTTTTGTAATGTTCAAATTTTGTGAGGCTTATATCATTATTTGGTGACACAGATAATGTAGACATTAACTTCTGTGTCAAAATGTCATTTAACTGTAATACCATCTTGGGCTAATAAAATATTTTATTTCTGGGATAGGGAGACCTGGGAAAGAGGAGCTGCTCCAGCTAGGCCCTTACATACATTGTATTATTAAAGGCATTCCAAACACCAAAAAAAAAAAAAATTAACATTCTCAAAAATCAAAAGGAGTCATCACATTAGCTGTTGACCCTTAAAATTTTTTTTCAATTAAAAATGAACTCTTGTATTGACATAAAATAAATGAATACTTATATTGTAAAATTACCTGTACAAATGAACCCCTATAGCCATCATACTATAAATGAACACTTATATTGCCAAATTACCTGTACAAATGAACCCCTATAGCCATCATACTATAAATGAACACTTATATTGCCAAATCGCCTGTACAAATGAACCCCTATAGCCATCATACTATAAATGAACACTTATATTCCCAAATTACCTGTACAACTGAACCCCTATAGCCATCATACTATAAATGAACACTTATATTGCCAAATTACCTGTACAAATGAACCCCTATAGCCATCATACTATAAATGAACACTTATATTGCCAAATTACCTGTACAAATGAACCCCTATACCCATCATACTATAAATGAACGCTTATATTGCCAAATTACCTGTACAAATGAACCCCTATAGCCATCATACTGCACGATTTGTTCAGTCTCCACAAAATTAGCTGCATGTCCCTCCTGGTCCAGTCCTCTCATATAGTAGCGGGTCCCAGCTCTGTAGCAGCAGCGACGTGATATCAAGATGTACTCAAATGAATGCCCCTTTATTGTACAGTTGTTGATAGAGATATCTGGGAAGCATTTAAGAAAATAATACCCATATATTTTGAAACATTTCAATAGAGGCACAGTCAGCATCATCTATCAAACATGTAATAAAATAGAATGCAGTCCAGTAATTTAACTTAGCCCTAAGGGGTGTATTCATCAATATTACACCTGCTCTGAGGGTCTATATTATGATTCGAATATGAAAACTCACCAGGATTTTTTGAATATTAATTTAAATGTCCGCTATTACTACTCTGATATTTTTTGATGTGAATATGGTGATATGTGCAATTCTGAGCTTTTCCAAAAAACAATACATTTTGCATCAGATACTGGAAAACTTTAATGGGGAGAGTTTTATCATACAAAGGATACATCCATGTAAAATAGGAACGCAGAATCTACTGAGTTCATGTTGCTGGGATAACTCCCTCAGCATGTGGCCATTCCACATGAACCTGGGGTCTGCCTGAAATCAAAAACAAATATTATATCTAATGCTTTGAAAAACAAGGCTAAATGAATCCCATCGAACAGCCATGGCTGGCATTTTTACAAACAAAGTATATAGCAAAAATGGCAGCCATTTTTCAAAATGGCCACCTTCTACCAAAAGTATCATTAGACAGTGTGCCATGCTTATAGTATTCACATACCAAATATGAACAAAATCACTCCCCTACTTTTCGAGTTATAGTAAAATATGTTAAAATGGCTGCCATTTTTCAAATGTCCGCCATATTTCAAAATGGCCACCTTCTACCAAAAGTGTCATTAGACAGTGTGCCATGCTTATAGTATTCACATACCAAATATGAACAAAATCGCTCCACTACTTTTCGAGTTACAGCAAAAATCGTAAAATAACGAGTAAAGGCCGCCATTTTTCAAGATGGCTGCCATGTGCTTTTTTAATATCTACATTTCTAGCTTTATTAATGTCCTACATAATTTTTTTACATTTAAAACATATTGCTATTACAGTTTTACATATTGCACCTAAATAACTGTAAAATCGGCACTAAAATGGTGGCCATTTTTAAATGAGCGGCCATTTTAAAAATCGGCTTTCGAGCAGAACTTCTACCCCCATAGGGTATATGTGTACAAAATATGAACAAAATCGGGCCAACGGTATTTGAGTTATTGCCCGGACGGATGGACGGACGGACGGACGGATGTACGTACGGACAGACGGATGGAGGCGTTACCTATAGCCCTCCGAACTTCGTTCGATGGGATAAATATATTTCAAGTATCATGGGTCATGTCACCTTTTGTGCATTTTCTACCATTTTTAGTTTACATAGAGTTATTTTCAGCGATTTATGGCATTAGGTGAATAAAATCTGATGAAGACAGTATTTCAAAAATTGAACCTTTGGGCACGACGCCATCTAATTTCACTTTAAAGATATAAAAATATCTAAGTTATAAAGTAGACTATTTTAAGGTATTTTTATAGATGGGGCAGTGTTCAAAGGCTGTAATATACCAGCTGACACTAAATCATGATATTAGTACAAATGGGTCACTCAAGATAATGGGGAAGGAGAACATTTCCATGTTGCTCTGAAACTTAAATAATGGTCTCTCATTACTGCTGGACTCTAGAAAAAACTCAAATATGATGTGAGCCATCTTGACATAAATTGCATGTGCTTATTTCCATGTTTTTTCCTACTTTGTCCTCAAAATGTCAAGATAATTTACTGTTCTTTTATATAAAATATAAGAATATAATCATGATATACATAATTTCAAAAAGTTACTTTAACACACATTTGAGGATTTTGGAAAATCATGAAATACAAATTCTTTGACCAGTTTTGTGCCCATAATTGAGATTTCAGAAAATGCTAGGAAGAGCACTGTAAAGGTTGCCCATAATTTAGCCTTGAGACTGAAGGCCTTCTTCTTTCAAAGTACATCTCAATAAAATATGAAAGAAAGAAACATAAAATGAGGTCATGGCAATCTGCATTAAGGTAAAGACTGCTAATTTATAATAATGACAGTAAAGTTCAATGTAAAGGTAGTTTTTCTGGCTATGTTTGGTTACACTATGGTAGTCATGTTTTGTATTCCAATCTAAGTAGCATGTACTGCATATTGGTTTAATTCAGGTAGCCTTAAATCTGATGAATTTGGCATTTTCAGAGTATTCAATTTGGCAATTTTTGTAAAAATATTCCAAACCAAAATACTGTATGACATACGTGTATATTGTAGTCTGTATTGATGAAGATTTTTCAGAATTGGTGAATCACTAAATTAAAGCCAGCACTAAATTTAACAATTTACAGTAACACTTGTAAGTAGAGGAATATACTATTAAATATATAAGCACCAGTGATTCTCCTTGAATTCAAGGTTTTTGTAGCTATTTCAATGTTATAAAGCAAAAACTGTCCAATCTGAAAGTAGGTGAAACTAGCTAAAAGTGTCTGCATTTGGACGTGTTTACATTAAGAAGAACACCTCCAAAGTAAAACATTCTTCTAAGTCCTGTTACCAATTGCCTAAATATAAAAATGAACCTCTTTGTTATCTTCAAAGTGAAACCCTATTTTGAATTACCAAAGGTGTTTCACTTATACAGGTTTTACTGTACCATGATGGTATCCTCAAATCTAATTTATTTGGCCCTGCTTTGAATATTGAAAAACATTATAAGATTAGAGTAAGGTGGTAGTTTTTTCAACAGAGTACAAAATCCATATTTTACTGAGCTTGTCCCCTCCGTACTAATATTTTCTGTATTGTTACGGAGATGACCGACGGGGACAATCTCAGTTGCAATACAGATTGGTACAGCACAAAAACTGATGAATCAGAGGGCTTAATTTCACAGATCATATAATAAATCTCAATATTTCATCCTTTAAACAGGGTGTAAACGGATTTTCAATAGGGTGGCATGTAAATGTCAAATTTCCATTAGAGTGCAGCACCCAATTGCCCTAATGCTGGAGAAATTGCTGGAGTTTGTACTAGTGATATAACTTTATCAAGTAACTGGAAAATACCAAAATAAACTGTTTCATAAAACATTCTTCAAAATACTAAATTCTAGAGCCATCCATTCAACGTCAAGGTTGGGATGACCTGGGATGACATTTAAAAGCTGTACAATTTAAAGGGGCAATAAGGACTGTAGCGAAAATAGGAAAGTTTTTTAATTTTTTCTGAGCTATCAAGGCAACATTTGGTTTAACATCTTCTTTGACATACCTATTTTATTAAAAGTATGGATAAATTATCAATTTCAGCATAAAAAGGTGTAAATTCAGTTCAAAGCTTCAAAAAGGGGACTTCCACTTTTATATTTTTAAGATCCACCATGTTTCAAGAGGAATACCAGCTGAAATAATGTTTATCTAGGGGGTTTCTTTGTAGATAATAAAAATAGATGTTAGTCTTGATGAAATATCCAAACTTAAATATATTTTGACACTGGTCCATGATCGTTGAATGACCCCTCTGCACTAATTATTGCACCTTTAACTAAAATCACTTTTTATGTGAATGACAAAATAGAGCACAGTTTAAATACTACTTTACGACATTCATACTATGTACTTTGAGGAAATGCATATATGCTTTTCCTTGGATAACTTTGGTTGTAAATGTTACCTTTATTTGATCAAATCAATAGTTCAATCTATTATTATAGTTTTACCATTTCATGGTCTGGTTACCAATGATCAGTTGAAGAGGTATTTATGATGCAAAATGCATTTTGAGTTTGTAACTTTTTTATCCCAAAATCTTGCAAAACAAGGGAAACATTTATTGAATGTCAAGTTTATTTAAATAAGCCCTAAGTTGTTAACCATGCTCTTCAAAAACAAGGTTATAAGAAAATCATGGGGTAAATCCTCAACATCCAATTGCAAAAGTCATCATCCACATAGTTCCTCCATTTTTGGGCATGAGGGGCATCATATAAGGCTAGTAAAGATATGAAGATAAGTGTAATGTTTATTAAGACTGTATTGAGGGACAAAATGCAGTCTTTGTTAACGTTAGTTTTAGTCTAAAATCAACATTGTCCTACAGAGCTCCTGGTATCAATTGAGAAAATTAACATTAACATTGGGAGTGGTTTAAAGGCATTAGATGGGGAAAAAGAGCGATGTTCGCTAAATCATGGTAATGTTTTTGCTATGATCCTAATTCTATTTTCTTAGAAAAAGTTATTCAATATTTAAGATGTGAAATGTCCATGTAAATTAGAATTTAAAACAAGGGGACATCATCTTTTCAATTTTTTTACTTTAAATTAATAAAAAAATATATCCTGAAATAAACTTGAAACTGTTGGACACCTCTAGAAAATAATAAAAAGATGCCTTTGGTTAGAGTTACACAGCAGATTTAATTGCTTCATTAGGAAGCAATTTGACAAAAAAGCTTTGTGACAAAGGAGTCTTCGAGGTGTCATACAGGCAAAAAGTCCTCAGTTACTTTTTGTCAAAATGCTTTATAATGAAGCAATTTCAACACTGCCAAGTAACAGGTACAAATGGATGATGATACAAAAACATTGAAAACTCGGTTAATTTGAACTCTTCTCTGTCCCTTCTACTGTATGTCCTTTAGTTTAACTTCAATGTCCTTATGAATAGTGATATGCCTTACCCGCTCATGCAGAGGCATCTGAACAAAGTCTGGGCTGATGTGGTAAAGTCTCTGTAGGGAATATGTCAGGTCATATGAAATGAAATATGCCTTACCCGCTCATGTAGAGGCATCAGAACAAAGTCTGGGCTGATGTGGTAGAGTCTCTGTAGGGAATGTGTCAGGTCATATGAAATGAAATATGCCTTACCCGCTCATGCAGAGGCATCTGAACAAAGTCTGGGCTGATGTGGTAGAGTCTCTGTAGGGAATGTGTCAGGTCATATGAAATGAAATATGCCTTACCCGCTCATGTAGAGGCATCTGAACAAAGTCTGGGCTGATGTGGTAGAGTCTCTGTAGGGAATGTGTCAGGTCATATGAAATGAAATATGCCTTACCCGCTCATGCAGAGGCATCTGAACAAAGTCTGGGCTGATGTGGTAGAGTCTCTGTAGGGAATGTGTCAGGTCATATGAAATGAAATATGCCTTACCCGCTCATGCAGAGGCATCTGAATAAAGTCTGGGCTAGTGTGGTAGAGTCTCTGTAGGGAATGTGTTAGGTCATATAAAATGAAATATGCCTTACTCGCTCATGTAGAGGCATCTGAACAAAGTCTGGGCTAGTGTGGTAGAGTCTCTGTAGGGAATGTGTCAGGTCATATGAAATGAAATATGCCTTACCCACTTATGCAGAGGCATCTGAACAAAGTCTGGACTGGTGTGGTAGAGTCTCTGTAGGGAATGTGTCAGGTCATATAAAATGAAATATGCCTTACCCGCTCATGCAGAGGCATCTGAACAAAGTCTGGGCTGGTGTGGTAGAGTCTCTGTAGTAGGGAATGTGTTAGGTCATATGAAATGAAATATGCCTTACCCGCTCATGCAAAGGCATCTGAACAAAGTCTGGGCTGGTGTGGTAGAGTCTCTGTGGGGAATGTGTCAGGTCATATGAAATTAAATATGCCTTACCCGCTCATGCAAAGGCATCTGAACAAAGTCTGGGCTGGTGTGGTAGAGTCTCTGTAGGGAATGTGTCAGGTCATATGTACTGGAGAAATAGTAGCTCTCTTGCTTCAGCATATACTCAACCATGGTCAAGTAGGCCTTGTTGTCAGCTATCTGTAATACATTAACATAATATGTCTACTTGGTAGTCATCAATTTTAAGTATACTTTAAATGGCATTAGAATTGAAATGATGCCAAATCAATCCTAATTCATGCAGGAATAACTTTATTTTGTAATCAATTTAGTTTACAAGTTGTCTCAATGAGACGTAACTCAAATACCACTGGCTTGTGCCTCAATGAGATGTAACTCAAAAACCACTGGCCTGTGCCCAAATGAGACATAACTCAAAAACCACTGACCTGTGCCTCAATGAGAGGTAACTCAAAAACCACTGACCTGTGCCTAAATGAGACGTAACTCAAAAACCACTAACCTGTGCCTAAATGAGATGTAACTCAAAAACCACTAACCTGTACTGTGCCTCAATGAGATGTAACTCAAAAACCACTGACCTGTGCCTCACTGAGACATAACTCAATAACCACTGACCTGTGCCTCAATGAGACATAACTCAAAACCCACTGACCTGTGCCTCACTGAGATGTAACTCAAAAACCACTGGCCTGTGCCTCAAAGAGACGTAACTCAAAAACCACTGGCCTGTGCCTCAATGAGACGTAACTCAAAAACCACTAACCTGTGCCCCAATGAGACGTAACTCAAAAACCACTAACCTGTGCCCCAATAAGACGTAACTCAAAAACCACTGGCCTGTGCCTCAATGAGACATAACTCAAAAACCACTGACCTGTGCCTCAATGAGAAGTAACTCAAAAACCACTGACCTGTGCCTAAATGAGACGTTACTCAAAAACCACTAACCTGTGCCTCAATGAGATGTAACTCAAAAACCACTGACCTGTGCCTCACTGAGACATAACTCAATAACCACTGACCTGTGCCTCAATGAGACATAACTCAAAACCCACTGACCTGTGCCTAACTGAAATATAACACAAAACCACTGACCTGTGCCTCACTGAGATGTAACATTGTCCTCTGAAAAGGCAAAACCTCAGATGATGCCACTCTCCAGATTGTTTGGCCATCTATCTCCCCAGCCTTTGTCTTCTTGGTGATCACCACCAGGTAAGGGCCAGCAACAAGGCGTATAATACCCCATAATCCATAGATCAACTTGCTGGCTGTATTGTCAGGAATTTGGCTAAGTCCATCTGGAAAATTGTTTTTATACATGAACACAATTACAAAATATTCATGTGCTTGTAAAGATGAAAGATGAAGTTAATGCAGTCGTAGCAAATTCAGGAACTTACAGAAATGGGTTGGAAACTCAGGAAAACCAGACTCGCCAAATTTGCCGGGCCGAAATACTGACATGCTTATGGTGAATCATAATACTGAACTAAAATTCATAAAATCACAAGTTTCCGAGTGAGTTGAAGTTGATCAAAAAAATTTGGGTATAATTTCCCACTGAATACATGTAAGGAAAACACAATGCACATTTCAATAGGCATGATAAGCTATCAAAGGATACCATTTTTGCAAAGATAAGATTAACAGTCCATTTCTGCAAGTCCATAGCATGTAAACTAAAGGCCAAAAGAGTAGGTGGGAGGTGACAATATTATCTGGCTCACATGTCCTAGGAGGGTTACCTGTATGGGTCTAAGGCCCCAAAACATGAAGTACGAGTATATTGTATGAAGCCTCTAACTCTTAAAATGTATGAGAGCATACAGTGCATGTACATACCTACTAGTGAGATCTCGAAAGATACTCTGTCAATGATTAGTAACTCATTGCTCCCAGAATCAAGTGGCTCGATGAAGTACTTCTCTGGCGTCGTATAGCTGAAATATGGAAAAAATTCACTTTGCTTTGCCAAACTGGGTGCACATTGGAGTATACAAAAAGAAGATGTAATTTTGAAAATGTTAACTTCATAAATGAGGTAATTTCTGGAGACTTAAAGCAACTTAATGAATATTCAAGTGATATAACTGGAGCTCTAAAGTTCTACTAATACTTTCTCTTGAATGCCAAGTGACCAATCAATGCTTTTGTAGAGCTGATAAGGACACTTAATTTGTTGTATATAAATCCAAGATTTGAAATCAAATTCAAATGAATGTTATGTCTCAAATCTAATATTGACTGATCCAGAGTTTGTAAAAATATGGTTAATTCCGATGATGTATAAAACATTTGGAGTTAACTGATAATCATACATGTAAAGGAAGCATGTCAAAAGATCGATGTAGCGCAAAAACCTATATATTATCAGTTAAGTCCCAGACTCTCCAACCTGATAACTATACATGGAAAATAGTTTTTTAGTGCATGCCACAAATTATTCACTTTATCGACAACATCAACCTTACTTTCCCTGAAACATCATCACATCTCTTGTTGACGAGTCTTTCATATTCATTAGTAAGATGGGGTTTTATATATTGGCTTTGTCATAATAGCGAAAAAGAACTTCAAAATTTGAAAAACTTTTGAAATATTTTCAATATAGAGGCGTGCAGAGAGGATCCCCAAAAAGAATTCCCCAAAACAAATGTCACAATGAATGTCTCCATACCATCCAACCCCGCTCTTGTGGAAATCCAATGTAATGTGACATTATTTCTCTAACAACGATAGCTTTGGAGGAACCCCAAACTGTTAGACCTAGTAAATTCCCGAAATTATTTCACATTCATATATATATACAAAATATACACTGAATGAAAAATGGATGATGCAATTCTCCGGGGATTTTTTGGGGTTTCAGTCACCCCCTCCCCCTTAGCTGATAATATATAGCTAAGTTGGACATTGATCTTTTGATGTGCTCCCTTAGAGAAAGATTTCGGCATAGGATTTCAATTTGAAAGCCCTTGATTTCGGTAACCCAATTATAGTCTTCAAAGTTCTTTGGGAAGGGAATGACTGGCTGGGACACAAGGCTAGAAGTGCATCAAGTCAGCCCTGATGTCTAGATAACAGTCAGTTGTAACAAGTTACGCAGATAATATTTTTTTCAATGAACTGATGTTCCAATGGATTTGTAATGACCTTCGATAGCAAGTCGCTACTACAGTCTCAGCTGTAGTGGCTAGCCTTTATGACTCAGGGGTAGAGAGTCTGACTCTGAGAGCGGAAGGTCCTGGGTTCGATTCCCGTACGGGGCATTGAATTTAGCACATTCTCTTTCGAGTCTAGTATCTGGCTCGGTACACTACAGCTCCCCGACGAGCGTGCCCAAGGGCCGTTACAGATTTTCTAGACTTCCAAAAAAGATTCTTCCATATTGAAGTTTAGGAATCTTGATGAATACGAAAATAGCATGTAAATTAACAACATATTCAAAAAAATATACTTGTCATCAATTGAATGCAGTAGACCAAGGTAAACTAGCAAATGAGAGACTTACAGACGCAGAGTTTCGTGCACCGGTTGTGTCATCCTGGTTCGAGTTTCTAAAGGTGAAAGCTAACACCAATTTGAGATAATTGTGACCTGTTGTGAAAAAATTGCATAAATTCATCAATTATCTTATAGGCAGTATCAGAATTTGCCAGGGGAATATCAAATTGAAATGAAATTCTGCAGAGTAAGTAATATCAGCTAAGCACTTTTTTATTTATCGTTTGACATTTGCTACCATATGGGAATACGCCAATTTCTTGTAGTGACATCTTTTGGTGAATTTCCCTAATTGAAATATAATCGATCAACATTTTAAATTTAGTCAGATTAGTATTTAGAAATCAATCAAATGTAATTTTATTGTAAAATATATCTTAAAGTTTGAATCATTCATTCTACAATAAGACTTGCGATATTTTTGTATTTCTGCCCATCAAAAAAGGCCCTCAATTGGGACCTGGAATAAGAATACATAATGCTCCTTTATCAGCTGACCTTAAGCCAATATTCAATATGGCAACCAAGGAGTCGGTTGTTAACGAATAAATCAAAGTTTGTTTTTTGGATTAATCTACTTACTGACTGTAATCCATTCAATAAGGAACATGTCGTCAGCAAGGCTGGATGCTACAGGATCTAAATCTGCCACCAAGGAGTTCCTTGTTGGAGATAAAGTAAAGTATAGACTCGAGCGAAAAATAGGAAGTGGAAGTTTTGGTGATATTTATTTAGCCACCAATACCACAAATGGAGAACAAGTTGCCGTTAAATTAGAACAGACCAAAGCCAGACATCCTCAATTATTATATGAAAGTAAACTGTATAAAATACTCCAGGGCGGTGTAGGAATACCTCATATACGATGGTACGGACAGGAGAAAGAGTTCAATGTTCTTGTTATGGACCTCCTGGGGCCAAGCTTGGAAGATTTATTCAATTTCTGCTCTAGGAAATTCACCATGAAGACTGTGCTTATGTTAGCTGACCAAATGATTGGTCGAGTTGAATACGTTCATAATAAAAACTTTATACATCGTGATATCAAACCCGATAATTTCCTAATGGGAATTGGCCGTCACTGTAACAAACTTTTCCTCATTGATTTTGGATTGGCGAAAAAGTACAGAGACACTCGTACGAGACAACATATTCCATATCGTGAAGATAAGAATCTGACGGGAACAGCACGCTATGCCAGTATAAATGCCCATCTTGGCATTGAGCAGAGTCGTAGGGATGATATGGAGTCGTTGGGGTATGTTCTTATGTACTTCAACCGCACAAGTCTCCCCTGGCAAGGTCTCAAAGCTGCTACCAAGAAACAAAAATATGAAAAAATCAGTGAGAAGAAAATGTCCACCCCTGTTGAGGTCCTGTGTAAAGGATACCCAGCAGAGTTTGCTATGTACCTGAATTATTGCCGTGGTCTCAGGTTTGAAGAGCCGCCAGATTACATGTATTTGAGACAACTGTTCCGTATCTTATTCCGCACAATGAACCATCAGTATGACTACAATTATGATTGGACATTACTGAAACAACTGTCTACAAAAGGGGCACCACCGTCTACTGCTCACGCTACAGGTGGACGATGACTACGCCAGGAGACATCTATATGACAATAGAAGAACTAAACGATCCTTGGTGTACAATTGAACAAGGAACTCAGTGGATTACTCTGGGACCAATTACTCCACATCTTCGACAATGTCTCAATAATCAACCTAGCATTCCAGGTTATATAATTCTACAATCATTTGTGTAATAATATCAGAATGTTACAATCATAAAGTGTTTCATTATTGCCAAATGAAATTAGGGATTCTTCAGTCATGAAAGCATTCCTGTGTTAACATGAAGACCTTGCAAGCATTTATGAATTGACATCGGATCTTAAAATTATGAAAGCATTTCTGCATCTATATCATCACCAGAACCCGGCACACATCAGAACTGTCGAAACATCAAAGGTATAGTGGTTGGAATATTACATCATGTCATGAAACTTTCAAATTGATATTCATCAGTTTAATGCATGATATATGATTTATCCCACATTTGATTTTATTTCAATGAGAAAATATTATGAGAATACCTTGTATTGTACAATCACAGATACATCATCATAGCTTAAAATGGTTATCAAGCTTACTTCAAGAGCTTGGAAACCATGAATCCACAATGTAAAAAGCTAATGAGATACTATCTAGGACTTACTTTACAGCGTATTTAACCAAGGAATACTTTAGTTAACGTTTTTAAAAGTTTGAAAAAGTATTTTTCTACTTTCTACTTTTTGACTCATGTTGTGTTTTAGAATTTAAATGAGTGTCAAACATTATGAGCATGGTGGCTAAACCATGACAATGAGAAATCTGGATTATACAATAGTTCAGATGTGTTGCACCCTAATTATATATTGTAGAATGTCATTGTGCCTGTTTTGGGGATGAAATGTTGACATGGTGTCAGTACCTTGTGGGATTATTTTACTCTCCGTCTTCAGGGTGGAGTGACATAGAACTGCATTTTATTTATTATTAAGTATGAAAGGAGTTGTTATATGTATCTATTATTATTAATGTATCATACATTTAGCATTAGTTCATCTGCACCTAATTTGTACAGTTGTCAGTGACTCACCATATTTCATTTATTCATCCAAGGGTGTAACAAAACCCTGGGGATTAATCATTTCGTGCAGTATGTCTGGGACAAGCGAGCACACTTCCTCAGGTTTAATAATCAGATATATGCGTGCGCTTACAACTCACACTACTAAATGGGACGTTACTTCCCAGGTATTGATTTTTCCTTTGATTCATCTTCAAATATTCTGAGATTATATTTTCATCCAATGGTCAGTGGCAAAAAGTCATTCTGTTGAAATGACTTGAAAAGAGATACATAGGTTGCAACTGAGAAATAATAGTTTTCAATAAGCTTTGCAGAATGAACCAAATTGTATGCAACCATTTGGAGTTTCCTTTGATAATCCAATTTAATCCAGTTTGAAATTAATGTTACCTTGGAATCATTTCAAAAGTTTGTGGACATATATTATGAAAAATCACTAGCCATATAACATTACAATCATAGGGAAAGTGTAACATTCAAGATATTAAATGTTTTGGACACAAACTATTGAAACATCAAACATGTCAAATGAGGTCATTTTTATTGATGCTTTATGAAATAAAAGATGTCTTGTACTGATCAGTCATCCATCATAATTTCATTAACACATTTATAATGTATATATTTTGTAAATTAGGTCAACGATTTTAATGCAATCATTTGTTGATTATATGTCATATTTTTATAATGATTAAATGTCTAAAACAGTATAACTAACTATATTCTCATTAAAGATGCCGGCTAAACCTTGGATGTTTTATTTTTAAGACTTTTGACTTAATGATTATATATAGTTAAACTTTTCTTTTTGTCATCTTACTTTAAAATGAAAACTTAGAGCAGTATTTTATTTACCAACCATCAGCCTCAATATAACCTCAAGATTTCTTCAAATTGATGATTTTGTAAAATTTAGAAAAATTGGTAAATTCATTGGAAATAATACAAAATTCATATTAACGTAAAAATGAATTTCTGAGATATAAAAGTCAGTCATGCCAAAAAATCATGTGAGTCGATAAGAAGAATTCTTGAATCTTTGAATGTTTTTTTGAAGTTTAGAAAAGCTTAGGTTTGGCCTGCATGTTCAAAGAACTAAAGAATAAGGAAAATATTGTATAACTTTGTTGCCCGTATATGTCCATTATACCTGATTACTTAGGAGTTTCTTTATTGGTACTGTCACCCGTTAGATTTCATAGAAAATGTTTACTGTTGAATATTAATAATCAATTTCACCCAAATCTACTAACATTTGTACCAAAACTGACTCCAGTATAACACCATGGGCTTTGATTTAACGAAGCCCTTTTGGCTGTAGTGTATATTTGACATAGCCATTGTGTCCCTTTGTTTAACATAGACCTTTTGGCTCTATGTTTGACATAGCCCTAATGGCTCTATGTTTGACATAGCCCTAATGACTCTATGTTTGACATAGCCCTAATGACTCTATGTTTGACATAGTCCTAATGACTCTATGTTTGACATAGCCCTAATTGCTCTATGTTTTACCAGAGATATTGTTCTTTGTTTGACATAGCCCTAATGACTCTATGTTTGACATGCCGTAATGGCTCTATGTTTGACATAGCCCTAATTGCTCTATGTTTTACCAGAGATATTGTTCTTTGTTTGACATAGCCCTAATGACTCTATGTTTGACATGCCGTAATGGCTCTATGTTTGGCATAGCCCTAATGGCTCTATGTTTGGCAAGGCCCTAATGGCTCGATGTTTGGCATAGTCCTAATGGCTCTATGTTTGGCATAGCCCTAATGGCTTTATGCTTGGCATAGCCCTAATGGCTCTATGTTTGGCATAGGCCTAATGGCTTTATGCTTGGCATAGCCCTAATGGCTCTATGTTTGGCATAGTCCTAATGGCTATATGTTTGGCATAGCCCTAATGCCTTTATGCTTGGCATAGTCCTAATGGCTATATGTTTGACATAGCCCTAATGGCTTTATGCTTGGCATAGCCCTAATGACTCTATGTTTGGCAAGGTCCTAATGGCTCTATGTTTGGCATAGCCCTAATGGCTCTATGTTTGGTATAGCCCTAATGGCTTTATGCTTGGCATAGCACTAATGGCTCTTTGTTTGGCAAGGTCCTAATGGCTCTATGTTTGGCATAGCCCTAATGGCTCTATGTTTGGCATAGCCCTAATGGATTTATGCTTGGCATAGCCCTAATGGCTCTATGTTTTACATAGCCCTAATAGCTCTATGTTGGACATAGCCATTATGGTTCTATGTTTGACATCAGCCTTTTGGTTCTATGTTGATTTAATCCTTAAATGGTTCCATGTTCGACATTCCCCTTTAGGGCCTCTGTTTGGCATAGCCCAAATTGGAATTATGTTTGGCATAACCCTTGGGATTCTGTGTTCAAATTGCCCAATGTCTGATAATACGAGATAACAAATAGCTCAGGTATATTA